ATCGACCTTTCCAAATATTTTTCTGTTCATTCATTGGATGAGTCCTGTAAATTAGATAATCATGATCACTATTTGGAGTGGTCGATCAACGTGGATCAGGATTGGTCGTAGTGGTATAAATCTATTTATTCGTTATCATATTAATGTTGAGTTCTGATGCTCTTTCCTACATACATTCTTTTTGAATCACGATATGATTTGATAATATGATCTCATAATATTGATGTCGCTATTATACCTGTTCATATTTTGATTTCATCTCTTTGTGCTTGGTTGATGTTGTAACTTCAGTTATTTTGCGTTTATGTCATGCTCAACACTAATTATAACTGACTGATCTATTGCGTTCGATATTTGTAATTTTTAGCTCTTTACATGCATACATTAATAACTGCATATTCATAGTGCTCGAAGCTTGGTAAGAATGAGTTTTTAGTTACGTTTTTCTGGCAGAAAAGAAGTTACTTAGATCCGTTAACATTTCTTTATCTTCATGTTCAGGACTAACATTAGTTATCACTGCTACTTTCACAATAGGCTGGAAATTATACAAAGCTATTTCCTACTTAATCAACTGTCTCGTCAACTATTGTCTGAATACGTACTTGACATTTCCAATCTCAAGTGAGCTTCAAGAGCACAATAGTGTAATTTTGTATATCCTGACAGGCATTATTTGGAAGAGCCCAAATAACGACAGCTTCAAGTTTGAAGTTTGATCTCAGATGGATAAGGATAAGTTTCTATAATTTATAACAACTATCGTTAGACATGAGTACAATGACTACCGATAGTATAAAAATGAAGAAATGAAGCGTGCAATCGATGAGAAAATATAAAAGACTCACATGATACTAGAAATATGCTGATAAAGTATGCTTTCTAAATGTTGACATCATGGAGAGTTATTTTTCGGTGGATAGTTTGACAAGTTACTAGCATTCATAGAGAAGAGCTCAAAAGCAATAAGCAATAAAGAGAGCTAAGAACATTCGCTCCTCAGTTTTAATATTTAAACTCAATATTATTACAAATTTTAGTAATTCATAGGTAACATAATTTAGACAAAATGAATATGAATACGTGGATATTGATCATACCTCATTTACCTTGAAGAAACGGTATTTATTGTGCACTTCACCAATTTATCTCTTGAGTTAATGTTGAGACTTTCTGTAATTCCAGGTAATTTTTTACTAATATAAAATTAAATATTTAAATGGACAGAGTAACAAGTAATGGATTGCGTTTTGAATTTGAATTTTCGCCTGTTACTCCCAATGGAGCATAGGCAGGTAATGGATTGCATCATATCAAAAAAATTTTTGTCATTTTGTTTGAGTAGTCAAAGATTTATGATTTGAGATTTTCATTAATGATAAACTTTTAATCAATTCTGGAACAACCTGTGACGTAGTGGGAAATGTCATAATTGCTCATATTTGAAACTAATTTCCAATAATCAATAAAATGCTATTTCTTTATTAACAGTTATTAATATCCACTGTAATTTGTGATTGCAATCAGTTAATTCACTACTCAAAAAGTCTTTCATTATAAGGTTGATTAGTGTAACAATATAAGTAGAATGAGTTCATTCTATTCAAAGCACTAATTCCATTAACAATGACCGATTAAACTAATTTATATACTAGGTCTACTCAGTATGTCCTCAAAATATTTTCTGTATTTTATACTCATAGGTTTGATTGGTTGCTTATAACATAGCTCTGATTGGTTCATTTGAGATTGAGTAAATGATTAAACTTTTTTTTGGTTCATTTTTAAAAAGAAATCATCAAAGTATTTGACGAAAATACCACAACGTAGTGAACCAATTCAATATTTATGATATAATATATAATTAGTTACTTTCCAGATGTTTTAGTATGCATCACTGACTGAATAATTCGCCAAATTCATTTTCTTTGAATTTTCCTCTGAATAAAGATAGAATTTAAGGATGATAAGCATCGAATAAAACTCCGGTTGGAGACACTCTGGGGATAATGTGGGTCCCAATCCCGGATGAAGGAAGACGGTTGAGCATGAGGTTGGCGACCCAGTCCAACTCGCTAAAAAAGCGCCAACCAGAAAACATAATTTAAACGATTTTTACTCTGTCCAGGAAGTTAGAAGGTCTTCTTTCAGAAGAGTTATGACGTCCAGTGATGAAAGCCAAGTTCCCTCGGAAGTCACGAGAGCGATACCTGTTCTCGCAACCAGAGCAACCATTCTTTTAGATACATGGAATGTTCAAACATTGTGGGAGACCAGAAGACTATTCCAAGTTGCTGAAGAAATGAAAAGACAACCTGAAGCTGCTTGAAATATGTAGATGCACGCTGAACAAGTGAGACTAGCTTCAGGAGGGCTGTTGTTGTATTCCAGCCATGAAGAAGAAAATACCTCACACACGCACAAGGAGTCGCACTGATGCTGTCTAAACAAGCACAAAAGGCACTGATAGGATGGGAATCTCATGAACCAAGGATCATCAAAGCATCCTTCAAAACAAAGAAAGAGAGCATTATAAAGAACATCATCCAATGCTATGCACCATAAAACGACTACAATGACGACGTTAAAGATCAATTCTACGAGAGGCTGCAGTCAGTCGTCGAAAGATGCTCATCAAAGGATTTGACGATTCTTATGGGAGACCTGAATGCCAAGGTTGGAATGGACAACACTGGAAATGAAGACATCATGGGCTGACACGCACTTGCAGAACAGAATGAAAATGGTGAGAGATTTGCAAACCTATGTTTCTTTAACAAACTGGTCATCGGCGGCACAATATTCCTACATAAACGCATACATAAAGCTACATGGATTTCAACTGATCACACTACGCAGAACCAAATTGATCATATCTGCATCAATAAAATGTTCAGAAGGGACATGGAGTTCATGAAAACCAAGAGAATAGCTGACATAGCCTCAGATCACAACTTATTGGTGGCAAAACGGAACTGAAACTCAAGAGACACTGGACAACAGGGCGGAAAACATCACAAAAGTTTAACACTGGAAAGCTCAACTAATTGAACTGGTATAACCGAAATTCACACTAATTGTGAACCAACTTGTGCAAAATTAGGAGATTTATACTCGATCGTATTTCTTTCTAATAAAAATAAACTGGCTTTTTCTGTCCACTGGGCATCAAATATTGAGTCTTTTTTTCTAGCAAAAGAATTATTAAGTATTTTGGAAATCCGATTGTGAAGTGAAAAACTTTGTTGGCAGTCGTATAGGGAGTTTAATATTTACTCATCTATGATATTTTGTGAAGATTGACCCGTATTCTAAATAAAAAGTGTGAACAACCGAACTTCGAAAAACTAGTTCATATCATAAAGACTGAAAACTGACCTTATCATTTACTGTATCGCCATATATTAACAGAAATAGGTAGTCAAAATGGACGAAATGTCTGTCCATGGGTTACCTAACTCATGATGAAAATCTTCAGTAAACTATGTAAGTGAATCTGAAGTTATTTCGCTAGTATTTTAATTTTAATATACAATGGATTAAGTTGTGATTGTCAGTATGGATTCACTGAAATCAATTTCAGTCTACTAGATAAATCTTAGATAAGTAAGGTGAAAAATAGTGTATTGATTTCCGTAGATAAAAGTTTCTGACAGTTAACAACTGAGCTTTGTTAAAACTAGAATAGTCTTTAAGTGGTATACTTCAAAGATGGACCTATATGAGATATCACTGAAAACCAACCATTCTAGGCGCGATAGACCTCTCGTGAAATTGAGATATTTACATTGACTGATTACTGAATTCGAATCCATCGAAGAGCATCAGTTTTTCCTCGGAAATGTCATTTTTACGACCTTACCGATAAGCATCGACTAGCACAGAACGTGTATCCGGGGATTTATGTGAACTATTTTCAATCACCTAACATCACATAGTGCATATGATATCGAGTTGCTTAGACAACTGGATACACCATAACCTGTGCTATAGAATAAGAGTAATCTTCAAAAATCTATGCATATGTGACTCAAGTTATTACTCACAAATTTATTAATGTGAAATAATCACTATTTTCACTACTATATTTCAATAAATCTTAGAAGAAATCGGCTAGTTAACTTTAGATTGTTTATCTGATGTAACATTTTTATTAGTATAAGTACAATTCTAAATTTTCAGTTTCAAGCCTTTCATAAAATTTCTTTTACAGTATAATTATAATTTGAAATATTGATTTATGGCTATAAGTGTCAATTTCCCTAGTTGATGAGATTCAGTTCATAAATAAACACAGTTTTTAGTACAAAATAAAAACTGATGATAAATTTAGCTGGCAATAATTTAGTATATGGAAAAAAAGTTCTGTATTTAACTTATTTGGGAAAAAACGGCTATTCAACCCATATACCCTCAAACAATATATATATATATATATATATATATAGGCAATGTTGAGAGTTTTTTTAAGTAATATGTTTATATTATTTTACGACAGTGCACTATGTTAAAACCTTCCTAATTAAGTAAAATACACTAAGTACTACCTAATAATTAGCCAGTATTTAATTTTATGTCGACAAACAAGGATCTATTAGCAATGTAAATATGCAATGTTAATAATATGATTATATTGCACTACAATATTACTATGTAAGGTGTTCACTGTGATGGTTTAACGACAAAATGTGTACACTACTAGCATAATATCTGTCCAATCAAATCAATGTGTGAAGTTTGTGTTCCCTTTACACTATTTCAATTGGTTATTGAATACGAATATTTTGATTTATTCCAATCGAAATTATTGAATGATGCACAAATTCTGAGGCACTAGACTATCAACCCGGCTTATAAACAAATCATCATCACACACATTAAAACTTTTACTATTAGTCTACACTTTTCCTATCCTTTTTATCTTGTCCTGTTGGATAAGAAATATATTAAACATGCAAGGGGGGAATTAATGCACATTTATGTGCTGTGTGTGCATGTTTGCAATGACTAGTATTTTTAATAGTATTAATAAACTGTGACTACACATGAACTTGAATAAAAACACACTTTAATTTGCACACACTATGATCTAACAAGGAATACAAAAATAGGAGAAATCATTTAAACGTGAAGGAAAAGATTTTTCAGGCAAACTAATTAGCTTCTTTGCAGTTTATTCATTAGATGAGGAATTATCACGATAGTAGTACTGGTTATTATTGTTCTTGTTAAACTAATAATAATATTAATAATAATATTCTTGTTGTTCATCATATTATTAACATGTCTGGTGATTATTTTTCAAGAACACCAGCTTTATTATACTCCTATGTTGATTCCGATTATAAAACATTTCAATTTAAAGTTGATCAGATCAATGATCAATTAGCCCCGATGACAACATTCAATTCTAATAATAATTTTAATAATTACACTGATCATTATAATCATGAATTTGATGACATATCAATGAAATATGGAACACAATCTATTCTGCAGGTACTTCCAAATAATCCACGACATCATAATCATCCTCCTCCTCCTCACCATCATCATCTTCAACAAGAACAGAATTATCATGGTAATCAACATGATTTCTTAAACAATTATTGTTCTTCTGCAACAACATGTTCAACAGTATTAAAATTAACTCGTACAACCACTACTGCCAATACACCACTTACATCAACAAATAATGCCAGTTGTTATAACATTCATAAATCAAGCGAAAATCAGTTAATCAATTCAACCTCAAGGCAGATTAATCAACGTAAACAATCCAATATGATTGCATCACCTCATTACGATAATTCGTCAACTGGTAATCATCATTTAATAAATGAGTTATCTACCGACAATTGGAGTAAACATTCTCCACAAACATTAACCAATTTGTCAGGAAACGATCAGTGGCTATCGACATCCACTCCAAGATCACCTTCCATAAGTGGAAACTATGTTAATAGTGTAGTTTCTGTTAATCTCAGTACTAAAGTTGATCCAACAACTACTACTGATGTTCAGCTTACTACAACAACAACAACAACTAATCCTATATCTAATTGTATAACATCTACAAACATGAACAATAAACATACATCATTAAAATTGTATACAGAGTCTAGAATAAATCAAAAATTGTGCTTAACAGATAATAATGTTGATTGTTATGATGTAAATGTAAATGGCACTACTACAGACGTAGATACGAAATGTTTTCTACCACCGGCTAATCAAATTATATCATCATCATCATGTGTTATAGATGATCATGCAAATAAGCCTAACAGTCTACCATTATCAGCTTCCTCATCACCACCATCATCCTATGATTGTACATTAACAGATACTAAAATATTACCCAATCATTTGTGGTCTACAACACCTTATTTATTTCATAAACATTTAGGGAATACTGCAAACAGTATATTTCCTACAGTGCATGAATCTTATCCAATTCAACCTTTGATGACATCTTATTTGAATAATACTTCAAATATTGATTATCATCATAGCCAACAACAGGATCAGCGACATTCAACATTCAGTAATAATGATGATCAAAATAGCAATAAGGTATCAAACTATATGCTAGCTGTTGACTCACGTTCTTATCACCATCTTCATAATATAAGTAGTCCTGAAGGATCATCTGGTGATGTTTGTCCAACTCTTTCAAATGAAACGATAAGTTATGATAATGATTTAAACAAATATGAATCATTTCATTCAATGCAATCGTCTTGTCTATTAAATAATCATTGTATGAATAACACTAATCAATGTAATGATAATGAAGAAAATCATCAAGTGAATAATGACTGTTCAACAATTTTAAGTTCAGTAAACTTTACTTATTTAAATTCTATGCCAATAAATTCAATGTTACCAACAATGACCACATTTACAACAACAACGCTTAGTACCACTGAATCATTATCATCATCATCAGTAGTGACTTCAAAGTGTATTTCAAACGATTTCATGAATAAAAATGAATCGGATCCAATTAAAACGTGTACTCATGAAGATAATCTTATACCATCTCCATCCATGTTGTTATACAACACTATGAACATGTCATTTCATAACATGTTAATGAAAGGCACCAGTGATAATTGTGAATTAAATTGCAGAAATGATAATATCAGTAATGACGATGATATTGATGTTGATGAAATGGAAGAGGAGGAGGGAGAAGAAAATTTCAATGGTAATTTGAAACGTAATCATTCAACTGATTTGTCCGATTGTGAGGATGATGATGATGATGACGATGATGATGTAGAAGGCGGAGATAACTGGAATCAAAGAGATCGAACTACAACTAATAATGATACGAGATCTAAATTAAAAGATGAATTGACCAAAGATATTGATAATCGAAAAAAGAACAATGGAGGTAAGCTGTTAGTTAAATTGTTCAAGTCAGTAAATAAGAACACGGTCTTATAAAGCTAAAATATAATATCTCTCAGTTAGCTACGTGAATTTATAAATGACTACATCTTCAAACCATAGCTAACTATGGAATCTAGAACGCTCGTTCTGTTCTATTTAGAACTTATCAAATGAATGTTCTAGCATTCCAGTATGCGCTATTTATTAAAAACTTTTCAGTCAAGATAGTTTCTGATTATAAATATAATCTAACAGAAACTGGTCGAATACAGTCCTAAACACTAACAAGATTCTTTTTTTTAATTTATTTTATTAAGATTTAATTCCTATTTAATTATTTTTTTAATTAAATCTATGTTTTCTCATTCGTTTGGGAAAAATTTGAACGAGCCATAAAGTTGTTATTTAGTCATTGATAAACTTTACTGATTTCACTTCAACTAAGAAAAAAAATTCGTCATCTTTTTGAATCCATTCCGTTCAATTGTATACACTCTAATCCACTGAAATTATCAATACTTTATGCATCTCAGCCATAATTGTTAATTTTAACATTTAGCAGTAGATTTTTTTTAACATCAACTAAATGTAGTCTGTTTAAAAAAACAAATTCAATTATAACTGTTTTTCTTTCGTTAAAGTTTCAAAGACTGAAAACAGGTTTTGATGTAAATAGATGTAATTAGTAATTAATGATGAAAAATGCATTACATCGAAATATCATTTCAATGTTTGAAACAATCATTACTTAAAGATTAGTTTTGTTAACATCAATCTGAATATTCATTCAAGGTAACATTATAAAACATCTTCTGAATATTTTACTTATGCACAATTTATTCAAAATCAATTAGTTTTATTAGCTTTATGTTTAAAGTGGTGGCCAATAATTAGAATATAACTGTTTTCTAATGATTGTGTCATTCACTAAAATGATATTTTGGCTGATGGATATATCACTATCAGTAAATAAGATAATAGGTACTGCTTATTAAACAGAAACAAAAGTATATATTTGTTGCACTTAGATTGGATAACATTCGATGATAGGGAATTTCGAAAAATGATTGAAATGAATTTTTTTTTAAAAATAACACTATGAAATATATTTTAAAAATGTAGATCGATGGGTTAATTTGGTAATGAACTATTCACAAAAGAATAAAAGTACGAGAGTCTTTACGAAAATGTAAATCACTCAGAGGATTGTCTTTTTTACCTTAAGAATATACAAGAAACATTTTCAAATGCAGCTTATGTAAATCCAGTGTTATTTTTCGCATTTACGGTTAAAAGAAAATTTATAATAATCCATTCATAATTATTTTTTGAAAAATTTACTATCGAGTATGGTATTCTTGTTTCGAACCATAGTCAGGCAATTATTCATTCTTATTAGGTGTTTACATCAATGTAAACAGATTGTGTATCTATTGGAAAAATTGATTTTTATTGATAAGTTAAGAGTTATTTAAGTGGGTATTAATGATTGATTCACCCCTTTTAAACATGATTCTATTCCCATTGAATAGGACATCCAACAGTAATTATTTATAGGAACTGCCATTACAAAAAGTAACTGCACCGAAAGGTTAGCGGATTTATCAACTTATGTGTAAAAGTCTACATTGATTCATTAAAAATACATACAAATATTGAACTAAGACCTCATAATACTGGACATGAGTTTAATTATTTTAAATGTCTGATGGACTGCTATCTCGAATGGAGTCAACCTTGCAAGATGTGTAGTCAATACTGGCCAATAGAAGTGAATGAAAATTCAAGTATACCATAAGCTGTCCAAAGCTGGAGAAGTAGCCCATCATTACTGAATTAACAGTGATATTATACAATATTAGCATGATAATCTGAAGGTTTCAGAGTGAATTGTTAAAGAAGGATGAAATGTGTTCCCAATGCTAGTTGGTTTCCAAGGAATGAGATTTATTTATTAGTTAGTGCTTGTTATACTCGGTTATTGATATTTGAGATTATATTTGATTGCTATCTGTTGCCTATTGGTTGAATATTGTTTACTCAAAAGTTTTATAGCTAGCAACCAAGTTCATGAGGTTTAATCACTTTGTTTAAGACTCATGGATGTATGTATTTGCGTCCCAATTTTGGCGTTTACACTAATACTTAAGAATATTAAAGATTCCCACATCTGTTATTTCCAGCTCCAACTCTTTATCCAATAAAGTAATGAGTTCATATAACTTGACATGTATCAAGGTATTTTTAAGGGTTTTTAATATATATATATATATATATATATATATATCATAATGATAGACAAATACTGTTTGTACTTTAAGTCTTTATGAAATTCCATTAGAATGTTTTATACAATTAATAAATGAATAAGATCAAATATAACACAGTTTTTTTAGCCAAAGTAATTGTGACGTCTTTCATAAATATGCATCTAAGGGTGGTTGAAAGAGTTGTCTACGAAGAATTTCCTAATTTCGTGACGATACACCATAAACAACCGCTTACTGCGCCAGCCAGAATACCATCACGTTTCAGCGTGGAGAAGGAACAATCACTGATCAAGTTGGAGATGAAGATTTCTGAATGAAATGATTACATGAGTTCTAATATGAAATAATCAATCTAACATATGAATCAGAAACTTGATGGAAAAATCCACAGAATCTAAAAGTTCTTCTAAACATAAGGTTCCATCTAGTGCGTATATTCGCATAACTATTCTCAAACAGATTGGAGACTGGCTTAAATCTCTCTGAAATAAGAAATTTCGCATATAGAAAAATAATATCTGTTACGTTCACTACCTAACACATACAGTGAGTGAACAAATTTCAGAATAATAGTTACTGAATGATTGACCCGGAACTCAATAGTGAGAACCATTAAGTGATTGGAAAATTTTTTCGACTTTAACATCATTGACAGAAAGGTAGATTGTATTCATGATTTAATGATCTCATTTTGGGTAATAGTGATTCGTTCTAGTATGAGACTATTCTGAACTGCACTCTCATTACTTCATCAGAGGTCAGACTCCGAACCCTTGATTCTCTTATCGAACAGTTGACTATTTAAATCGTTTAGTCGTTGTAAAATAGTACGAATCCAAATCCAATTCATTTCTTGTGTAGTATGACAATCATACAATTTCAATGGTGACAGCTGTTGTACTGCGTCGGTCACGACTACTTATTAAAACGTCTAGGACATTTTTAAGTAAGTCAGTCTATGACAAATACTACCAACACATTAAACCAATCTGCATAGAATTTTTTTCGATAAACAACAGTAGTGATCGTTTAGAAACCGAAATCATACTATCAAAACAGTAGGAAAAGTGTTTTCAAGATATTTTTTCATTTTCTCAAGCTGTCCAAATAATAATGACTTCTATTTATAAGAAAAAAATATCATACGTACGATCATCAATAAGCACATTATGTTAGTTAAGTTAAAGAAACTTTAAAACAAATCACATCTCTTTAACTTTGAATGATTTTAATGGTTGAGACATTGTTGTTTTCAACGTTCAGATTACTACTCATCTTTCTTAAAAATATCTACCTACGTGCCTGTATATGTGGACGCGCAATCTCATTTGAGATAATAATTGAATTATAAACGGATTAAAGCGGTGTCTTGGATAATTGTTTCCCCATTGGCCGTTTTTTATTCAGTCTTATACGTACTTTCTATAATGTGTAATCGTTGAATGAAGGATATATTCTATTTCAACTGCTATCGTGAACAATATATATAGGTTAGTGAGTATGTTGATACCATATTGAGAAAATCACTTTAATGTATTACTTTTTCTTGCTATTCAAATATATATATATATACAAATTATAATTGTCAGGATGTTTGAAATAAAATGATTTCAGAGCTTCGCACAATACTCTGTGATCTGTATTTCACTAGGAAAAACATCATGTTATAAGATAATGTAGCTTATTGTTTTTTGAGAAATGATATAATGTTCATTGGACTAGTCTTAAGCATAAAAGCTTCCCGACTAACATGTCGTCAGATAGGTCTTCTAGCGTAGCCTTACTTAAACTCATTAACGTAATCATGAAATGATTTCATTCGTGAATAATAGTTAACTGACTTTTGAACTGGGTGTACAAATACACTAGAAAAGTGTGACCAACAGAAATAAAGCGAGCATAACCAATAGTCATTTGATGGTTGAATGAAGCACTAGGAGTACCGTGGGATTCAATACGTTTTGAAAAATTTAAACGTAGTCTAAATGGAAATCACATCGAACAATTAAGATTAATGCGAATAATTTAGATCTGAGCTTTCTATACCGACATTAAAATTCCAACATATAAGGCAGTCTTTAAAAAAATGGACTACTACATAGTCTATAACAAGATATGACTAGGAAATCGGTTTAATAAGATAAAGATTATTATTACTATTTTTTGAAACGGCTGCCAAACACACATTCAGTCGCAAATTTCGGACCTGTTTATAAGTTGGACATTGAACCATTATTCCAAACATCACTAAATCAAATTATTTTACAATTTAAATTTTTACCCACTCTCAGTAATAAAGAAAGATTATATAGTAAAAATAATTAATTTTTGAGGTAGGTTGTTGGGTTATTACAATTATTTATATTCAAAATTCAGTTTTTATTATTTTACTAACAGAATTTTACTTAATCTTAATTTTGTATCCAAAATTTTGATGAAATTTTAGTAGAAATATTCAGACAAATGTTCAACTTATTTCACTTTGATAGCTGAAGTTTTTACGAATATAATTTTATTCCGTAATACATCAATATTTTTTTAGATGCGGCTGAATTAGTCATTTTTACAGTGGTAGAGGATATGGAAACTAAAATATCAATGAGATTAATAGATTTATTCAATGTTTCGGTGTAGTATTCAAACCAATATTTTTATGTCAGTTTAAAATGATTGGGGTTGTATGAAACATCAACTAGTGTCATTAAGCCAGTTATTTTAAATTTGGAATTCTCAATAACATTCACTTTTCTGTAATGTTGCCTTAGGATAAAATGAGTTGTAGAAGAACACCTCATTTCTATCCGGATAAAAAAAACAGCAACATGTATATTCTGTGAATCTAAACTAGACTTTATGATTCGTCTGAAATATAAAAATAGACGTTAATAAAATGTAAACTCAGTTATTAATAAAGTTTATATGAGTTAAGGAAAAACCTTCAAGTTAGTTCAAAGTATTTGACAACGAGGAAAAGATAACGAAAGCTTGAAAATAGGTGAATTATGTAGTTATTAAAAGAGATAATTGTTATTCCTTAACTAAATAACTAATAAAATAAATAACCATCAAGTTGATACTATTCTTTGATAAAATGAAATGTTGGTTTATACAAAACATTGCCTAAAGATTCTTATTATAATCCACTAACAACAAACTAATCGATTCTGTAACCGTGTTAATAGGTCAGAGAAATACCCACTTTGTCAAACTGCAAAGTAAAAACATTAGCATATCAGATGAATGGTCAAAAGTACTTTTTATTATTTAAGCTTTCAACTCATGCGGTTATACTCTTAAAGTACAAGTTCATGATTTGAATTAGTTTAGAGATAATAATAGTAATAATGATCATTAGCACATGTCTAGAATAGTATCAGTATAACACAGGATAATAAATTTTTAATTAATTGCTTGCAAAGTTATGATATCACAATAAATAAACCACAGAAACATTCACCTTAATTTTACTGGAAAATGTTATATATATATTTCTTTCTTTTAGAAAATTTAATTATGAACAATTTTCAAAGAACTATAGTTTAAATTTATTATGTTCAGCTACTGTCGCATCAGCAGATAACTTTACATTTCTTTCCTCTTTGCACTTCTTAAACCTTTCGCTCAATAATATTTGTAATTATAAAAATACCATATTCGATTATTAGTGTTTTTAGATAGGTATAAAAGCTTATAACTTGTGCAATGATTACGATTTTAATAAAAACAATCACCGGTTTAGGTTTAGTCTAAGCTATAAATATTTTTTTTTCAGTGTGCCAAATATTTATCTGTTGGGTTAGAAATGGTATACATCTAGACATATTGTGCACATATTTCAAAAACGTATGAAACAAATACTTTTTAAGTCATGTCTTTACTAGTCATATCAAAATTTATAACCAGCAATAGCGAAAAAATGACGGTCCTTTTAGTATCAGCCGAAGTCATACAGGACAAAGAATAACAGAACCATTTCGATCTGAATAATTCCCATCAGGTTATTTAATGCAGCTACAAAATGTTGAACTGTGGTAAACCTTTTGAAGTTGTTATACTACTGATTAGTAGTCAAACTAAAATAATCCAATTAATTCGGATTTCTTTAGAAAGGATTGTTTAAACGGACTAATAAGTAGATAATGTAAACGTGGAAAAGCTCTTATCGTATTCGAAGGACTTGTTTAATTTGTCATATCATACCCCTTCATTTATTCACATAAACTTCAAGATGAAAACATTAACGAAGGTTTAAATAAACTATTGTGTGTTAATCACATATTTCACACTGGACGTATTCGGGTGAATTACCATTGACTGAGAACAGCTACGCTGACTGAATAGTGGTTAGAGCATTGGAAAAATCAACTCTGGAAACAAACTTCTAAAATTATAGGCAATGACAATTGGGACGGTGAAAAAAATAATTAATACATAACAGTGAATTATTATTCGTTATTTTTTTACTCAGAACTACTTCAATATTAAATACATCTGTTTGCAAAGTGTATTTACGTAAAATATAACATTCTAATACAAAACAAACAAGATACATATTCATAGATGAATATATTCGAACAGTATGAACTTTCTATAGCATCGGTTACTTTCGAAATTGTTGAACTCAGTCTTCAAAATATTTCCTATCGATTTGGGTAACATTATAAGCTAGATCAGTATAATTACTGCGCTAGTGAATGAAAGCCATATACATTGATTTTGTTGGTCATTAGGAAAAAACTGTTCCTAACTTAGTCTCTTTAATCATTTCTAATAAACTTATTTAGTGGCAAGCAGGAATTATCAACTAGCTGAGTCAGACTTAGTGGTTTATTCAAAAAGAAATGTATAATATCAGCCTTTCAAGTAGTATATACAATGTCTATCATTTATCTTAACTTTTATTTAATCATGCATGACTGAATATTCTGTGCATTTTTGTTCAGCCTATTTATTTCTTTTGGATAACTAAAAAAGCTTGGTGTACTCCATATTCATTTCATAATGTATTCTACCTCTATTTTTATGTATCAGTTATTCACAGCTCTAATAGAATCACCCAACTCATCACTTATTGAATCATCATAACATAGAGAAGCACTGTATTTTATTATTTATCAGTGTCTTAAGGTACATTACTCCTACAAATTACGCTAAACATACAGTTTAACATCACTGTATTCATAAATTTAATGCTTACCATTACAGAAAAGGTAATATGTAATTTGATTGAATTTTAATATTCATTAATATTGTTAAGAGAGACAACCTGATACTATTATCGTAGTTTACTTCTACTTATTGTTTTAAAAATATCATTTGACTGGTCAGAATTTCTTAGAAAGTTTAGTTCTCTAACTCTTGGAATTAATCAGTGAAATACTGCAAAACATTGTTAAAGTTCTATGTATTATTCGACATTTTAACAAGCTATTCAATGGCATTGAAAATAAAAGTAGCGCTTGGCGAAAAATATGGTTTCAGTTCTTGAAACTTCACTTAACTGAAATCTTACTTTATCATTTTAGTTGTTTTCAACCTGTCTAACAATTGATGTCCAAGTTGGAAGAGATCACTTCTCAAGCTGGTCAAAAGTCCATAAAATTATTACGTTGAAATTTTTCAAATTTTACGACAACATGTAAAATTTTAGTTTTTTACGTATCTTTTTGCAAATGAAAAGTGAGCAGTCCGTTTAAACAATTTTAGTTATTAATTTAAAATCCTCAAAGATAATGCAAATAAAGTCTTTACAGAATGAATAGAACATTTGGTGAATGTTTGTCAACAAGAAAATGTAAAAATGAATTAGTCATATTACATGGAAAAACTGGAACAATTCCTTTTTTTCTAAATAACTAACTATTTCTGCAAATTATTCCAACATTTTGAATTAGGTGCTTTTCTTTCCAAAAAAAAAACAAGAACAAAAATTAGAAAGAGCAATGCAGATCATACACGTAAACAAGGAATCTGAATTTGATGATCATTTCAGTTAGTGTCCATCAAAAAAAAAATGAAAACATACAGGATCTGGAATATTCATCATCAATATCATTATTATTGATAATGATGAGGAAAATGTTGAAAAACATAATACTAACAAAATACTTTAACCATCCTCATTTCGAAATACAAACCTTTGCTTAGATCAAAGGCGACGATAAATATATGCTGTTTATAACTGCACAAGACATATATATACTATCAGGTCTTTTACATTTTTATCTCTATAATAGTCATATGATTTATCAATATCAACTGTGCATTTCTTTGTAGACTTAATATAAACAACATCTTTTACCAGCAAGCTAACACTTGCTAATAGATATACTAGGGAAAGAATACATAGGAAGTGAGAAAATGAGTAAGGGATTAACAAACAAACAAACAGACAAACAAACAAACAATCGAATAATGCATGATAGTAAGTGGACAAAAATTTAGTATTTCCGGTCAATCCTAAAAAAAAAAATACCAACAGTACAACTAGTAGTTCAACTGTTCATACATAAAACTAATTGATAAAAAAATCATTTATCCAATTATTTACAATTTTTTCGAGAATAATTTTTTGACAGACATAAATATAACAAGATTCAGGAAATGTAGAGTTTATTATGTTGGATAAACATACAGTATTCTTTTTTTTTACATTGGAACACAAGGATTAATACTGATTTACTAAGCCCTATCCCTACTCTTTTTATATCATTTCTGTCTGTGTCTAGTGAATGTCAATCCATTCAAAAAGGAAACATAATTCATTACAATCTATGATGTTTACCTTCAAAGTATTTGAAGTGTCTTCATTTATTTGTTCCTAATCAGACTTAATAAGGGTAACTGGTTAGATTTCATGTAGTTTGTTCCTTTTAAAAACTTCATTAAGGCTAGAATAATAATTGAGACAGAATATACTATTAATAATAATAACAACTAAATATTCAATTCTTCAAGCAAATTAGTTTACCGTACATTGTAGAAATATAATGATTGTTCAAGTGTAAAAGATGGAATTTTCAGAAGCTTCATATGTTTATATATATGCTTGAGTTCAAACAATAGAAAGAATTTATTGTCAGCAATCCTATATCAGTTTAATTCTGTTATCATTAAGTCTTAGTATAAAAAGGCTTGTAAACGGACATTTAGTTCAAAAGGTTTTGTGAAGATTGGTTTAGTTTGAAACTGGCATATTATGGAAAGCACAACGTATTCAATATTCAAATTGTTCATTTTAACTTCTTTTTATTTTTCATAGCTACTAGGCGATCAGAAAAACCGCCATATTCCTACATTGCTTTAATTGCAATGGCCATCAAAGCATCTCCGTCAAAACGATGTACACTAAGCGAAATCTATCAATATCTTCATACACAATTTCCATTCTTTCGTGGACAGTATACTGGATGGAAAAATTCAGTCAGACACAATTTGTCACTGAATGAAGTTTTTATTAAGTTACCAAAAGGTAGGTTTATATTAACATTCCTAAAATGGAAGTATTCTTTGAAGTTACTGGATTCTGTATATGTGTAGCTGTTTTCTCTTTGACAGAAATACCATACCGAGTGATCATTGAATAACGGTCTACGTTATATTTCATTAACTTTTGGTGTTGACCAAATTGTTTTTTATGTGGCCCACTTTTCCAAGCACTAACTTCTGATGAGATGAGTGGTTGGAGTTGATTCAGGTTAACTGGAGGACACAATTTAACTTTCCTGTGATAATTTATTTGGCATTAAAAACTAAAAAGACATGATAATGATTATTAGTAAGTGACCAGTTAATAAAAATGTTACATTCATATAGGAACCGTAACATCACAGACTGTGGTATTGGATGATGAGTGTTTTGATTTCACAGGGAGCGGGATAATTGAATAATCAAAAATACAATTTTTTAAGGTCTCATATAGTTAAAAATAAAGTTACTCGGGATGAGTCCAAGGTAAAACAAATTTACTCCTACATAAAACTTTGCTCACACAATCTATTTACGAATTCGCTTTAATGATAAATGTACTGTTTTAAATCAGTAATTTGCGGAAATAAACTGACCCGGAGAAGGTTGATTTTATTTTTAGGTTATAATTGCTACTAATTTAGTCTTGCTGAATAACTGTTGAAATTCAAGTATAAAGATGCTTGTCAGTGTGTACTCACAACTACACTGAAAATAAACCTGGGAAATTCAGATCTTACGGCTAACACTTATGTACGAGAACTAGTACAATTAGACAGATTCAACCTGTACATTAAAACAGTGTCATCACGAAACAGATTTGACTATCCTATGATAGTTGGCTTGCCGGCAACCTCAAGATGTTCCTGAAGTTCTATTACGCAGTCGTGATTGGAAATGTCTTGACTGGAACAGCCGTCAACCAACCAAATAGAAAATTGGACGACATACATAGCAAACCGATTTGAATCGCAACTGCGTTATTGAATACCGAGTTAGCATTCCTAAAGGTTAGGCATTTATCATGAGACCTGAAGGCCCTGGATCGACTTCTTGTTGGTATCATGAGTAATTACTGATGAGTTGTCATATATTATGACAAAACATCTGTACAGTGCTAATTTATTTTCAATAGTACCTCAACTGCCATGTACACCTTTTGGGATTACATCCCATACATTAGTTAAAGTTTGAAATTATTTTCATCCCTGAATAATGGGAGGTAAAGAATTACTTAAAGTGAGAGAATACAAAATCATTCTTTCTTTGTAGTTTTAAACTAGTTTGAAAACTATACCACTATTGAGAAGTGGTCACAAGAAGTTTCAAATGAATTTCACATCTCATATTAAGTATAATATAATTCATTTATCTTGTTAGAGTTTCGTAATTATCATTTTTAATTTTCTTAAGTACGATGTATGGTACAATTACCATTCAAAACTATATTGGTGGATAACTGTCACAATTTATATATGAGCTATCATAAAGCAGTTGACAAATTTTCATGAGAACATTTTTCATGGATTTGTAATACTGTCTAAGATGATACAGATTCTTACAATCTAACTATTTTTTCTCATTTCATACACATTCCTGACTTTACAGATGAGTTTCTAGTTTTAAAATAATACTTGAAAATTTAAAAATATAGACTGAAATATCTAAGTTAGAATGCAACAAATTAAAATTATTTTCATTAATCCCCCTGCCCCATTAACAAAAATAAACAATCATTCAGTAACAGAGGATAGAAGTCTTCTGTTTGCCTCTGTTATTCGAACTCTTTCCATTGAACAGTATATAAAATGAAGAAGACAAATCTTTACTTTTTGTTTGTTGAATATATCACGTAATTAAATTGTTACTTTTATTTTTTTTTATGTTGTAAACCTAGATTAAAAGCAGTTAAAAAAAAGGATTTTCCATGAAAATGATTTAAATAAATGACATATGAAAAAATTATTAGTAAGGCATTCTGTACAAACAGCCAGTACTACTAGTAGCGATAATTAAAACCGGTTTGTAAGTAAGAAAACAAAACGAAATTCATTTATCATGAAAATATGATATGAACGTGAGCTTTAGAATATTATGCATTTCTGTTAATTCGTACATATTCTAATATATCTGTGTGGAATAAATAATTACCATTTTAGAGAATAATTTAAATTATAAATTAGCAGGGGGTAGGTAGTGTCCCTCAGTGGAATCCAGGAGTGGATATCAACGATGAGGTGTATGTATAATCAGCTGACAAATACTAAATTAGACGAAACTGGCGTCCTAAATTCCCCCTAGTAGCCACTATCCAATTCTGCTAATAATGCTTGTATCTTTAAAGTAATATCGCAGCTATCCACATAGGAGGCATATATACCGAAAAGGCTAATCAATTCCAGTCCTAAACAAGAATGGAAAGATTAAAAAAACCAGTACAAGCGAATTAACCAATATATAGTTCGTATATTATTGATTAAGTAGCTGATAAAATATAAGATATTTTCAAATTATTATATTAACTTACTTGAAAATGAAAAGTCCATAAATCGTAATCAGTTGTCAATAGTTTGTTAATCGTTTCTTTGTAGTAGTTGAAGGGTTGAGCTTATCTATAACACTTTTATTGGCCAATCAGTATGTTATATTCATTGAATTCGGCCATTTCTCGGTTTATTTAAGGAAAGAGTGCTGTAAATGCGAGTGAAATTTTTCTCAAAGATTTGATTCCAAGTATCTAAAATCATCGATAACTATTTGATGTGAAGATAAGAATGTTAGATTGAAAATATTAATAACCCTAAGTTAGAGCTTCAAATGAAGTCTCTAATCAAAATTATGTGCCAACACATCGTACTGATACCATATGGGTAGAAAACAGCCGAAAGTGACAAAATACAACACACTTATTTAACATTGAATGCGTTTGGTATGATGTCAAGTAGTTTCAGAAAAAATAACTTTTACAACCTTAGGTCGTTTATTTACTAGACAGACTACATTTATAAATCACTTAATTCATTAAAACGACAAACCATATAAAAAAATGTATGAATTAGTACAGTTAAAAAAATTTATACACTAATCACCTTGTTTATATATTCTGTAAAGTTTCCTAATTATATCACATTGATATGCTAATTTCATACACAATATCTACATGATATTCAACTTTTCATTGTAATCTAAATAATATGATGTAGTGTAATGAATGTTCATGCAATAAAAACGCGACTAAATCGGCCTGAAACATTTCTCATTATCAAATGTTGTCATACATCAAAGTTATCAGTATATTATGCATATTATAGTTAGCATTTAAAAATTTTTACACATGATACATACAATTTACATGCTTACAATGTCATAAATCGTGAGTATTTATAGTGATAACTAGTTGCGACAATATATGATGTACACTTAAATTTATGCAATCAAGTTATGATGATAATCTGACAGAGATATCAACTGCCAACTAGGTATCAGTTTGAGACTTAAACAAGACAAATATCTAGTGTTTTAACGCTTCATTGAATTGAAGTGATATTTATTTATAATCATATTATGTATATTTACGTGTGCAACTACTGAGTGGAATGTTTGTAAGAGTGGTGGATTAAAGATAATTGAATATAAAATTTTCATGAAGTTCACACGATCTTTATTTAAAATTTATTTGTTGCGTCGTAGCAGTGCGGGATTTATCAGTAGTTCATATCTAAAGCTAACTAAGAACAGGATCCAGGATCTTTAAACCATCCAACGATCAGTTAACTCATCAAACTACGGAATTGGCATACAAGATATTCCTATTTCAAATTTTAATTAGATTGCGACATAGAGCAACAATCATCCTGTGTTCTGTCTACAAGGTAAGAGTAGTGGTTTCACGTTTATTATTCTCCTGAACCAATGTACACAAATGTACTGACTTTGAGTCATTTTAAATAAATGCAGTCGAACAGTTTTTTACGCTTTTCAGTAAAAAGGATTTTATACTCTAGTGAAAATTACTGAAAAAATGTCAATAAAATTAAAACTACCATTAATTTAACAGAAAATAAATTAATTTTATTTCACTGAATATTTTTAAATATTTTCTATGTTAAGTATTCTGTAAATGTTTATAATACTACCCAGGTATGGGTCGTCCTGGGAAAGGTCATTATTGGACTATTGATCCAGCAGCAGAATTTATGTTTCAAGATGGTGCATCAAGAAGACGACCAAGAGGTTTTCGAAGGAAATGCGCATCAGCAGCAGCTGCTGCAGCTGTAGCGGCAGCAGTTGCAGCAAATATCTCGTCAGGAAATGAATATTCACAAATAACTCATGATAATGCAATGCATAAAATTTCCACAACACCGTTTGACAGTTTTAATTTAGGAAATATGAGTCATGATTTATTAACTAAAGAGATGACACGATTTTTCATTCCAAATTCAGCAAATACTCGTAGTATGAATTGTGATAATATAAATAATGTTTCAAAACTTCAAACGCTTTCTAACGGATTGCCGATACCATCAACTTTGAATATAACAAGTTTATCATCAAATCCTATACCATTTAAGTGTGTCGAACGAGAAGGAGTTGGACCATCATCTTCATCGTCTTCCATTGACAGTATTTTCAATAATCATTCTACAACTACTATAAATGGACTTGCACATGGATCCAGTACTTCATCTTCAGTTCCATTTGATAACGTATTCCGTATACAGTCAGATTCTTTTGGCTTAAAATTATCGGGTTCACATATGGAATTTCCTGCAATAACAGCAAACCTTACAGAAAATATACTTGTTTCTAAAACAAACTCAGGAGATTTAGATCCTTCACCGTACAGTTTTATGGACCCATCGGAGCATCCAAGAGATAATAATAGTATTCCAGTTAATCAACAGTTACCTCCAATTTACCAAACTATGATGCACAAAACTTTACCATGTCTACTGAATTCAAATCCGACAACTGTTTCTCCACTTTATAAGCCTACTGTTTCTGACTCATATACTGGTTCAATGAATATAAGTAGCAATACACAACATCATGAAGATATACAAACAGATTTTACAACGTACTATGGTAGAGAAAAAGATCCGCCAATAAATGACTCACATTCAAACCAAGTAAAAGTAAACCATCATAATTTATATGAAAATAACTTCAGTGTTATACAACACTCTCAGGGTTTATCTCTAAATACAAAAGATGTAAGTTTACTGAATCAAAACAATGAACAACTAAATAGTGACCTTGACTTACGTTGGTCTAATGAACATGTATGCTGGCCGTGTGATGCACCAATAAAACGAAACCAAACGTTTAATCAAAAGGAGTGTAATCATACAGAAGTTTCCTCAAATGTCATTGAATCTAATTCATATACAAATGAGGTTTTCAATGTTTCGCAAATAAGTACTAATACCTGTAATAATATTAATACAACTGCCAACGATTTCGGTGATCCCACAAGAAGAGTAGTTGAAAGATTTCAAGAACATGATAATTCTCTATACACAGGAGCCTTATTATCACCATCCAAAAATAATCCACAATTAATTGAATCCAACAACCAACCAGACATAAAGCATACCAGCTTGATAAAATCGGATGAATCAAATCGAATAAATTATTCAATGAGTTCACTTGATAACGAAGTTAATATTCATGTGGAAGACTCATCATGTCTTCCTATGTTTCCACGAATCGAGAATAACCAGAATGAAAATGAAGGTAAATTAATGCGTGATTCCATGATTTATTATATTCATAAGATGTAATTTCAAAGATCCACAGTCAGATTTAAGAACACTTTTTAAAACTCTGAGACGAAGATCTATTGGAAACGTTGACGGTTTGAAAAATTTATGAGTAATTTGCTGATTATAGCTAGCTCAAGTTGAAAGATGACTATAGTTTTTCATTAGTAGATGGATGTTGATTAACTGAACTAATGTAAATAGTTTGGTCAGGTAAAATTTCAAACCAAATTATAACAAATTATTTAAGGTTCAATGGGATTTTGTTTAAATACGGTCCTTCTGCAAGATAGTAGCTTTAACCTGGAAGAAGTGTTTTGTCCTATTAGGGACTCGTTATTTGGATTCTGCTGCATACTAGTGTTCAGGTTCCCACTGAAACTCAGACTGACCACTTCACATTTTGAATATACAATACGTTGCCCAATGATCCACTGAGTTAAAACAATCCTCTTTGTTTAAATATAGGGTCACTGACCACTCACTCTTGAATATCAACTACAGATAATTGCAAACATTTACTAACCACTCTGAATACATTAGCAGTAAGTTTAATCCCTTATTCTACCACGATCTTAATGGCATTCTCTATCTTTTATAATCATCTACCATGCTTTCTTTTTCGCTACTCATTTCCAGTTATCTTTCACAACTATCGACTAACCACTATTACAAACTTTCACCTATTCTGTTCCTAATATCTGTCCAGTGGATAATTATCTTCACTCTCAAATTTTCCACTAACCGATTATTAAGGAAATTCCTTTTGGAAATCTTATATTTGTAGGCAACTTATGATAGTACTTCAGATTTTCTTTTAAATCACTCAATACTGTTTTACTTTACCAGAGACTACTCGCTTTGTAACTAGTAAATTACCTATGAATACGACTGTATAGCTTAAATACCTTTTTTTTACTTCGCTAGCGTTATAAACTAGAATACAGAAATTTCTGACCGATCAGTTGTACAGACTCGGTTTCAATGAAAGGGTAGCTTATTACCAATTAGGAAAATAAAACAATTTGCGTGACGACAATCAAATTCAACACATTACTGTACTTTTAATTAAAAGTGGAATGAAATACAATTCTTCATTGTTTGATATATCCACAAAACATTGCAAACTAAGTTAATTACATGTAATAAATTTTCAAAGCAACAGATTGCATCTTTGTTTTTTAACGTTAGAGATCAATATTTTGAAATCTCCATGTATTCCATTTCGAATGACACAAATTGTATTTGTGAAATATTATTAAAACATACAGCCAAGTACTACTTTTTTTTTTATCTGAGGCAACAGTTTCGTTTCCAGTAATCAAAACAATTAAGAACAGCTTATTTATCTGTGATTAACATTAGTTATCAATGGGTTGTGAATATTTAAATTAAGTTTTTTGTGAATAACACATCATGAGAAACTGGTACGTATATAACATGAATAAAATTGTAGTCATCAGTTGATGAACCTTTTTTTGTGAAAATGAGTCCATTATTCAATGAATCGCTTTACGCTAACTGGATAGGTGAAATATGTTGAAATGTTAAGTGGTTGACGATAGTCGACAGAGAAGGCTGTAACTAGATTTCATGTTAGTTCGGATTTGTCGAAAAGACAAGAACACGTAGAATCTCAAGGGAGCTAGTCTCCAGACTTGTTTCACCCAACTTCAGTTTAACAAGTCAGGTGAATATTTCAGTGGTAATCTTAACATAGAAAATATTTTGTTGAGTCACTTTGACTGGTGCTCACGTTTTGTCAACAGAATTCGATGATGAGTCGAATAATAACAAGACATCATGCTGGTCAATACTTAGTGATCAATCATTTTTGTGAATACACCTAAACTGCTACCTGATAAACTATTACAGTAATTTTTTGTTTACCTCAAGATTACAAATAATTTTCATTTGAAAGTCAGTTTAACAAATTTTGCTAAAGCATTTCATTTCATTTTAATCTGTTGAATATAGAATCTCATGAACGAAAAGAAGTCTTAGAGTACAATACAACAACGGATTCACTACCGACATTCGTTACAACTTCACAATCTCAAAATCAAAACTATGTGTGAAAATTTACTTGGTTAATTACTTACTGGTTCATAAGTAGTATCATGTACTATTTAAAATTTTTATTCCTTTTACCAATGTTTTTAAAGAAATTTGTTTCCCTTAACTCCCTATATATATAAGTGAAAACAGTCTCATCAAAACTTTGATATAAATAAATGCATATATTTCTATTTAAGCGTTTACACTGACGCATATATAAGTATAAAATAAGTTTTTTTTTTGATGTTTCGTTTGTCCAAACTCATAAAACTTTCATTTTATTCGTTTGTCCATCATCTTTGCCATTACTATTCATTGTTGTTTTCGTAAAATTCATATATATATCAGCATTAATATGGTTAAACGTTTTAGCAACAAATGCCACTGAGTAATACTGGCTTTTTGTGATTTATACTTTCATTACCAATTCACAAAATACAAATATCGAAACTGAAATCTCAAAGCATGTGTTCACACTGAAAAAAATAAAACAAACAGGTTTTCTTTTTATCTTCTTATATTTCTCATTTAACAAATATAAATTAAATTATGTCGAATAATTGTGAATTCATTAATTAACTTTGAATCTCGTTGTTTGTTCTCTGTTGATAACTTTTTTTCTACTTTGTTAACAAATAAAGGAATTATAATGTTGGATGAAAATATGTTCCTTCATATACAACTTTTTTTCTTGAATTTATACGTAAATATATATGCACAATACTACTAATATCTTTAATGTTTCAATTGATATAAAATAATTCATATATAAACGATTATTTCTAGTTTTGTTTTATCTAAGTTTATGGCGAATCATTCACATTTACAAAAAGTTTGCAATCTATTTTATCCACTAGTACATTATTTTGAATAATTAAGAGCCCGAATATGAGTAATGTAGCTGAAAATAGTAAAAAATTCGCTCGTAATGTGTATCGCGCTAAAGTAAAATAAGCACTATTTGGTCGGTTTGTTGTAGAGGTTGGTGAAGTTCACATTCGTATGAGCTTGGCTGTGAGATAACGACCACACTATTCAATATCATTTAGTAAATTGTGGTAAAAATTTCTCAATACAAAATAACCAGTATTCTAGAGAACTTGTATTAAATCCAGCTCACTTTCTAATTCTGAGAACAAGTTATCTGTCTACTTTCTCCCCATGTACATACATATATAGGCATCCAAAAATAACATTATGTTAGTAAGATTTTTGAGACTATTGCAATGCATTGTAAATAAAATGACCAAGATAACAAATCTCAGAAGGACGATTGTTTAAAGGCAATTATTTACTTTGTTTGAGGCACTCGAGAACTTTTTCCTTATGATCTTTTCATTGGTGATATTAAATCTAAGGCCCAAGTGAATTGACAACACTTTCTTTCACAGGAAGGATAATTAATTTGAATATGAATAAGTGACTTCTGGATCTTAACTCTAGTTTCACTCTGACGATTATTATTAGGTACATATCCAATGTTAATATTGTTCGCAGAAAATTGACATCACTTACAAAAGTATTTAAGCATTATGCCTATGTCATATTTAACTACATCTTGGGCTTTTGTTGGTATTTCCTTCCAGTAACGTCAATATTTTCACTTATTATTTCTCAACTAATCATAATGTCACTTTTGACAGGAGTTTGTTTTTTTTTATATTACAAAGAAATTTGTCTTATTATTATTATTATCAAAAAGGTATAAATGCCAATATTTGAAATTTCCTTTAATTTATTGTCATAATCAATATGTAGTTAGCTTCCTATTCATCTCTGACAGTTTTCTGTTAAATTTCGAAGTACGATTATGATTATTATATGATTCTCTACAGTTATCAATGTTTTTTCGTGCGTAAATATTAACTATTGAATTCATTTAACAAATATTTTGCCTACCAACAGTGAAAATCAAGACTTATTTGTTTATATATGTATTCTGATTGGTAATTGAACAGTTATGCACCTAGCTGGTTAAATTCTGCAATGTAGCCACTAGTCTCAGTGAATCTACGTTGTTTTGATATGGGGTGATTTAAGTTAGTCGATAGGAAATTCTAGACCTATTTTTCATGCTAGCTAGTGTTTTTCATAAAGGTGAAGTCTTGCTTTATACAGATGCTAGTCGCAAGAGATAAACCTAAGTCACCCAGCCTTATAGTCTAAGGTATTCTCATTGAGCTATGCCGGTAGATATGACATGTACACATAACTAAATCGTTGAATAGATTAGGTTACAAAAAATTTATCCAAAATAGTTTATGAAACTTAGATGTATCACTGAGTTGACTGATTTATAGAGATTTACGTTGGCTTGTGGTTCCTCAATACTTCTTACTTACAACCCCATAGAAACAAGCTTTCAAAACCTGAAGGTTTAGTGATATGAACGTCATTAATTAAACGTTAGATTGAGTAATAGTATTGGACATAGTACGTATTATAGACGTTCCTGATTCTTTCGAAAACGTACTCTAGTAGCACTAATAAGCCAACTAATAAAAGTAGGATCTGAGGTTAAAACTACTTGTGAAAATGACTACTTTGCTACAAAAGAAGTATATGATATGGTCCTATATCCCAAACTGTTTGCAATACATAATGGCATTCAAACTAGCAGGAACTACTTTATGGATTGAAGACTACGGCTGGTTAACTTCAAGCAGTTGAAGTGGCAAATAATATGAAGAATTCCAGTGACAATGACATTCCCTTTATGTACAAAGAATGTTCTCAGTCTTTTGATATCATCAGCTATGAAGACTGCTTAGGAGCTTCAGTAAGACATGGATACATTATTTCACCGTTCTGGAGTCCAACAGATACCAGCTGTTGCTACCGACCACATTATAATGCATATTTATCATCATAGGTTAAAATATGTGCTAAAATGTGTTATTCTGAGCGCAAACACAACTGCTTAAGAATTATTATCCACCGAGACTTGGAAACTACTGCACATTGTGAGAGTTTAAGGGCTTATAACATAGAACATTTTAGTCACCTAAATGCTATTAAGTTTACGACACAATAACACGCCTTGTTCGTCACAATTCGGAGTACTATAAGCAAATACTATCTAACAGAGATTATGAACCATTCGAAAAGTTATGAACGATAATGAGAAAGCAACCTCAGGATCATGATTTTACGACATAGGAAAAAGGGGGACTTTGCAGAGCAGAAAACACTCCATAACACAACGAAAAACCACATATTCCAAACAAATTACTAGCCAACTGATGACCAACCTTTGCATTAAGCCATGAATGACCAGCACTCCATTCCTTAACAAGTAGTAACACTCTGAATCGATACTCAGAATACGGTCAGGAAGACTGGAAAACCATTATCAACAGAGAAAATAAACATTGCTAGCTTCCTCTTTAAATTATATAAACTGCGTATTTCAAGACTGCTTACTTGACTTAATAGATACTTCCTGTTAGCATTTTTGTCATGTTACAGGAAATGAAATCCGAAAATTAGATAAAGACAATTTGTGAATTACATGAATTGATTATTGAGAATATTTCTTCTGTCCGACCATAATAATAACGTAACTGTTTTGAGAATAACTTTGTACAATACGTCAGCTTATATTTAAAAATGGTTCTTAGAATACCGTATCAACTTCTTTATATGAAAACGAGCTGTGATTATAGGAGGATTTTCCAGTCTAGAATTTACAACTCAAGCATTTTGTCGGATCAGTAATTATATAAACAGAAAATTGTTGTCAATGAGCTTTGAGAGATATAGATAAAAATAGAATATTATAATTACAATATTTAGGTTACACATATGTTAACCAGACTATCACATAATTTTTATTTCAATAGTTTTTGACTGTCGAAATTGACTCTATTCATAATGCAAATGATAATTACAACGAAAAACATAGCACATTTCTACAGCAGATAAATAAAAAAAAACGAGAAAAAAAACTAAATTAAGAAGTAACACATTGAACAAAAAAATCATTACACTGCAATCAATGGATTTGGTTGTATAAATGAACTAGAAATTATTTGTCGAAATACATTCAATTCTTCATCTGTAATCCATGAAGGTGCTAAAAATTGTATAGATCGTAAATTGAGACCACGCCAAGTAATCAATTCCATTAATGAACCTTTAACAGCTTTGAGTACTGTTTCCACACGTTTGGCTCTCCATGATTTACCCATATTCTTTTATAGAAAGTAAGCAAAAAGAATAATTCGATCAAAGCTTGTGAGAGAGCAGAAAATCCAGCTGTTAATAAATATTAACTACATGTTTAAGTAAGATAATACACCAGCTAGTCAGTCACATATAACATATATCTATCGGTTTAAGTTGATAAATCACACCACATCATGACAGTGAGATATCAGAGTAGCGGAGACTGTAACAGTGTTACTTGTGGTAGAAAAGATTAGATATCAATGATGCAATCAAGAAAATATGAATTCATAGAATAGGAAGCCATAAGATAATTTTGAAACTCAGGATTTGAGAAAAGATAAAGGACGGAATGCATCTGAGACGTTTGATTCAACATATCTAACCACTGGACTTCAACCAACTACCCTGCACTTAAAAACAAAGGGTAGTCCAGTAGTCGATAACTTCACCTTTTGTTTAGCATCGCTTATTTAGTGGTCTTAACATACGCAAGAAATGTTTTGAAGGCATTTATAATCAAATATTAGTAAAAGCATCAATATCCTGTATTTTTAAAGGTAGCATTTCACAGAAATACAGTACAAGGGACGAACTGCTATAAGCAATAACTAGTTCTTCTTAGTTTCGGATACCTACCTTGACAGTATGCATATACTCAAAATCCTACACGCAGTATAACTCAGGTCATTGATGTTTTCAGATGAGCAGGATACCAATAGATCGCTATGTAGGAATCGGATAGTTCATATAATACTCAACTACAAACCAATTCTTCTACACGCAGAACCGCTAAAATTAAACGATCATATGTTCATGGGAAATTTATATTTTTAATGACGAAGTATATACTATGAAAATTATTGTTGATCCAAAGTCCCTGAAAAGACGGAGCGCCATCTCAAAAAACATAGTTAATCATTATGTGAACAAATTTGTGCTATATTTGCAATGGTTTGTACTTCTCCGTTGCCAGTACTCAGGATCGGAACCGGTCAGTCTTTGTTGCTATACATACATTATTCTGAGCGAATTGCTTTGATAGAGCTTTTCGTCACAATTTATATCTTTACAATCACTGAAAATATTAGTAGCTAGCTAGAATCAGTTAACCAATGGATAACACGTTGGTGCTTAATAAAAGTAGGCGCTGGGTTCAGGTCAAGGTGTTAGCATCAACACAGGAATATACAGATATACCCCATTGTGTCGCAAATCGAACGACGTATGCGCCCTCAATTCCACTTACAGCCACATAAAAAATACACTGAAACTGGTACAAAAGCGGTGATCTCTTGTGGGGAATATTAACATGGAGTTCAACCTAGAAAATGAACTATGAATAATACTATGTAACAATATCCAACTATATCAAAATCCACTTGTAAAAATTGCAGTTGAATGGTAAAAGCATCAATAATTTTAACAAAAACAATGAATAAATATCACAAATATTTTTATGATTAAATAAAGAAAGTTATTCAGTGGTAAAAAACTGTCTTATGAATGATACTACACAAAACGCACACAACGTACTTCAGATACTGATGAAACCAATAGTAAAGGCAACGATAAAGTCGTAATATCGTAGTCGAAACAAGTTCGTAGTACAGCTGATATAGCATAGTGTAGTGAGGATGGAATACGTATATTATCATTATTATTTTCATAATCTTCATCAATAACCACTTGGAAAACAACATTTATACCATCGCCAGTATTGCTGATTAAATTGGAGTGTTTAGTGATTAATACATCACCATGGATCGGATCATAGAAGTCAGATTTTGATTTAACTAGAAACATAAAACAGAATCACATTCAGCGAAGAAACATATACATTGGTTAAAAAATTTTAAAAGAGAAACATCACGATATGACACTATGATATATCGAAAGTTTAGTTACAATGTGGAAAGTAATATATTCCTTGACCAAGTGTAAAATACAAAAAAAAATGAGATAATTATTATATGAAAGAAATGTAGATTATTACTGACTGTGAGGTAGGTAGGATACGATATGCAATGACATGATGAAATTGACTGATAACTATTCGAGATGCTGAATTTTTTATGCATCTCTCTAAATTAACTGGTATTTGAAAGACAGACAACGCAATCGACAAAATGAATAGGTTTTGTTTTGATAAAATGGCACGTTAATGAACAACATATATTCAGCACCAATAAAAGTCATTTGGAACAAGCGATTATGAAATATAGTTTCGGTAGGCCCCAACGAGATTACAACTTAATTATTATTTACAGTTTTTGTTTCATGCTTACAACTTCGAGTAATTAATCAATAGTTAGATTTTTAAAAAACCCAGTAAAAACAAGGCTGCTACACCATAGAGTGTAGTAAAAGACAAACTATAAAAGAGGAAATACATAATGTGACTGTATAATACAGATAAACTATGCCCGGAGCCCCTTCGGAGCTACTGCCTCAGACCACCACTTGCCGGTCACTAAAACTGAAAAGGCACTGGACAACGGGGCGGACAACATCACAAAAGGTTAATACGGCCTTTCTTCGGAATACTGGAGATGTCAACCAATATCCAAGATAGCCCTCAGCAATTAGTTCCAGGCTTTACAAGATCTACTCAATAGAAAGGAAACTACAATGGAGAACAATTAGAAAAGGATCAAGGAGGCAATCACTTCAACATGTCAGGAGGTTCTGGGCCATGAGAAGTACCATCACAATAAATGAACCTCTGTTGGTACTCTTGAAACAAATTAATAAAAGAGAAACAAGAAGGCAGAAATAAACATCAGCTGAACAAGAGCAGAGAAAGACAAGGCACAAGCTGAATACACAGAAGCTAACAAGGAAGTGGAGAGGAGCATCAGGGCTGACAAACGAAAATATGTGGAACATTTAGTAATGATGGAGGAAAAGGTTGCAAGAGAAAAAGACATGGGTCAATTGGACCAAGCAAAGTTTTGAACATGATATTGTTAAACAGAATGAAGGACAGCGTAGACGCCCAACTTCGAGATCAACAGGCTGGATTTCGTAGGGATCGATCATGTACTGACAGAATTGCTGCATTACGGATCGTTGTTGGACAATCAATTGGATGGAGTTCACCGCTCTGCATCAGGTTCATTGACTACGAAGGAACATTCGATAGCGTGGACAGGACAACACTATGGAGGCTTCTTCAACACTACGGCGTGCCTGAGAAGACAGTCAACATAATATGGAATTATTAAGACGGATCAAACTGCAAAATCATGAATGGAGGACAGCTGACAGACTAGTTCAACGTGAAGACAAGGTTGCTTACTCTCATCCTTTCTCTTTCTCCTGGTCATCGACTGGATTATGAAGACGTCAACATCTGGAGGAAAGCACGGCATCCAATGGACAGACAGGATGCAGCGGGACGACGTGGACTTGGCAGATGATCTAGATCTTTTATCGCGCACGCGACAACAAATGCAGGAGAAGACGACCAGTGTAGCAGCAGCAGGTCTCAACATAAAAAAGGGAAAGCAAGATTCTCCGATACAACACTACATGCACCAACCAAATCACTCTAAATGGAGATAACTTGGAGGACGTAAAAACCTTTACATGTCTTGGCAGCATCACCGATGTGAAAAGTTGATCTGATGCAGATGTGAAGGCGCGGATCGGTAAAGCAAGAGCTATATTTTTACAATCGAACGACATCTGGAACTCAAAACAACTATCAACCAACGCCAAAGTCAGAATTTTTAATGCAAATATTAAGACAATTCTACTTTATGGGGCGGAAACTTGGAAAACTACCAAAGCCATCATCGAGGAGATACATGCTTTTATTAACAGTTGTCCACACAAGATACTTTGGATCTGATGGCCAGATGCGACCAGAAACAACCAACTTTGGGAAAGAGCAAACCAGATCCCAGTGAATGAAGGAATCAGGATGAAGAAGTTGAAGTAGACAGAACACACATTGCGGAAAACACTCAACTGCGTCACAAGACAAGCCCTTGCTTGGAACCCTCAAGGTCAAAGGAGAGGAAGAATGCTAAGGAACACATTACGCGGAATAATGGAGACAGACATGAGGATGGACAAAAACTGAACAGAACTGGAAAGAGAGCTCCATGAAAGAGCAGTTTGGAGAAAAATGGTCGGTGTCCTATGTTTCGTTGGGGGTAACAGTTGTAAGACAATACAAATAAGTTATAACGATCTCGTTCCGTTAAATTTGAAGAATGTACGTGGAAACCAAGAAAAAAAGTGGAGTATTGAAAGTAATTTTGTGATAATACTAATGCATTACAATCTCATAAACATTTACCAGTGGTTTATACAGATTAAATTCCTAGAACTTCGAAGCTTAATACATTAAATAGATTCATACAAAGGATTAGTGTTACCCATTGGGGATCAGTTGAACTCAACTGTGAGTTCAACATGATTCAGTTCTTATGAGAGAATGATTACAAAATCAAGATATTTTAGCTAGTAGAATGTCAATTATAAATTAATAATCAAACCAACAATCCAAGAGGAAGATAGACAGTAGAATTCTTTGTAATTCAGAGACCAATCTTAAGTGATATACCTTTGACCATAAAATTCAACTGGCTCACAAATCGCCACTCAGAAATCTGAACCTCTCGTCATAGCTGAACTTAGTAGTCAATGACGGATGTCATGGCTTTGGATTGGCAACCTCTAAACAGTTAATAAGTTTGATAGATCTTATTTTTCATGTACAGATTTACACGTTTCGTTTTGGAGCTATAACACTAACGGCCAAAGATGTTTACTATGAAAAGCCATATATCTGTTGAATAAGGAGTAAATAACAGTGAAGACATAATTATATAGAGCGCAATTTCAACTAGCAACTAATGAAGTTTGAAATTTTAATGCACAATCCATTAAAATAATATTATTAATACTCTAGACTACAGTATGAAGTGTGTATATTCATGTTTTTCTAAAACAATTAGTGTACTTTCAGTCAGTCAGCTACAACGTAGAACTTCGTACGCACGTACATCAGTTCTAGTTGCTATACCACATTAACACATAGATGCATCAGTGTACTTCACACAACGCATTCTCTGTTCTATGGATTTATGTTGGTGTAAATGAAAAAATGTAGAGAGAATATTTCACTAACAATGATATAACTGTACATAAACAACGATAAAACAAAATTATGTAGCAACCTGTAGAACTCCCACTAGACAAATCATTATTTTTTATTTTAGATTCACTATTTGGTTCTACAAATTGACGTGACCGCAAGCGATTCACTGTTTCCTGTATAGATTCTAACTGAGAACCAAATTCTGCGAAATGTAACTCAGTAGACTGCTCACATGCATCCGCTAAAACTATATACATAAAAAAATAAAAAGATAAACATACAGGTTAATAAAATCGAAACTTTCGGTTACATTATTTCGAGAAGAGCGCAAGTGATACTAATAGGTTATGCAAGTAGAGCTGAAGTAAGGTTCGGTCTAACGACCTATTGGTCGGAAACCGAGTGCGTTTTAGTCCTAAGGGGTTGATAAATGAACATAAATGAAGGATACTATTGAATATATGACTAACACAGTGATTCATTATTGGTCAATAAAAAATAGACGCAATCCAATAAGCAACAAGAAAAAAGTTCGATACATTACACAACGCCCATTTATTTTAAGTCTAATTTTGCAAACTAAAAATTATAATAGACGGTAAGGGCTTGGAAAGTCCACCTGAAGACCCTTCAGGGCTACAGCGTCACTTATGGCGTAGGCGAGATATCCGTTTGCTGACTAAAGGACGAGTGTACTGCGCAGTAGTTCGCTCCGTCTTACTTTATGGCTGTGAAACATGGCCAGTGAAAGTAGAAGATATTCATCGGTTATTGGTTTTCGATCATGGGTGTCTTCGAAGCATTACTCGTTTATCCTGAGACACCCGAGTGAGCAACGCTGTTATTAGGAAACGGGTGCTAGCGAAGAGTGGCAAATCTATAGATGAAGTAATGAAACTTCATCAGTTGAGGTGGATGGGACATGTATGCCTAGCCACCGACTGCCTCGACGAGCTTTGTTTTGTAGTGTAGGAGTAGGTTGGAAGAAAGCTAGGCGCGGCCAAACCAAAACATGGCAGAAATCCATGAAGTCATTGACGAGTGGACTTAGCCACGTCGGTAATTGTCGACTACCTGGTTGGGGTCAGCGAGATGATAATAATCAATGGTTAGAGACCTTGAATGACATGCCTCAAAGTCGTTCGCAATGGCGGCGGTGCATTTATTCTTCAAGTTCTCTCAAATCCTAATCTTCTGAATTCTTCAACACCTCTAGTTTTGACTTTCCAAACTTTTCTCACTGAATCATACTTCTTGAATAATATCTTGTAATCCTAACCTCTCCGATTACTTCTAATACCCTTACTACCTCTTCTACTATTGGATTTGAATTGACAATTACATTTCTGTGCTTATGTGGTATGGCGACATGAGCTGATGTACTTACGTACGAAGTTCTACGTTGCATCTGACTGACTGACTGACTGCCGGTCCCACGCCCGGATAAAGGAGGGTTGTGCATCGGGTTAACAACCCCATCCTGCAAAAAAATAATGCAAACCATTTAAACTCTGTCCTGGTAGTCAGAGGGTCTTCATTTGGGAGAGTTGTAACGTCTCATGATGAAAGACGAGTTCCTTAGGAAGTCACGAGGCCGATGCCCCTTCTCACAACTAGAGCCTTTTCACGGTGTGGGCAGCATGGTAGTAACATTCACCCTCATACCCGTAACAGCACATGAGACCAAAGTGGTCACAATCAAATCGTTCCTACACCTCTTAATAAATCTCTTATATCCACGATCAAACCTCCTTTCGATACTTCGTCGGCTCGTGCCGCTGATACAAACGTTTTGAGCTCATGAAACGTTATTCCTGGTTTCCCGAAACCGCACTCTACACCACGTGTTGGAGCTTTTATCGTTCGAACCCTGTGTCAAATATGACAGCAGGCTTTATTAGATAGGACTCTAGAATCCCGTTCCATTGATGTGTGTTGCGTCGCCAAAAGGCGCATAAAGCATCCGGGTAAAATCACTGATTTGACCTCGTCCAGATAAAGAATCAACTCCGTTTATGATTGGTGTATCTGGAAGCTCTGTCGCTGCATCCTGTGGTTTCGATAGTGTTAGTGGGACATAGATGGAATTACAGCACGACTACGTTGCTGCGCGCTGATTGGCTAAATTTCTATCCAATCAGCGCCTGATCGAAGCTTGGAGAACAGGATAGAAAATTCTCGTATTATTAGCTGCATGCTGATTGGTCAAATCCAGTCCAGTCGATCACGTGAATTTTCTTCCAGAAGTTTTCTCATGTAAAGGCTATAAATAGACTAGCATTGTATTTATTCTTCGCCTTCAAGCCTTCTTGCTTTCTCTGCCTTGGCTTTCGCCATCACCTCCGGCTTCTTTTCCTTGCTATTTTGGAATACAATCCTTCCTGTTCAACCGTGTTTTGATTTGTGTTACTTGTCCAGTGTTTTGTGTCAAGAATACTAAGCAATAAGATTTAGCCGGGAAATATCGTAAGCAATCGTTACAACAGTGGCGACGGAGAAAAAGGAAAAAAAATTTCAAGATGCCTATTTCAGATGATCAGCTTAACCGAATACTACAACAACAGCAAGCACAATTAGATGCACAAATGCGGTTGTTGGAGACCCTAACTCAACAGCTCAGCATCCAATGTTCGAGTCCACATACTATTTCAAATACGTCTTGTGAAGCAGTGGCTAACAGCATACCAGAATTCGTCTATAATCCTGAATGTGGAAATACTTTTCTGACGTGGTTCAAACGTTGGGAAGATACATTTAGAATTGAATTCGGTAAACAAGATGATGCATGGAAGACTCGATTGTTGCTGCGTAAGTTGGGAAGTAATGAGTATGAACGTTACGCTGACCACATATTACCGAAGTTACCTCGAGAGCTCAGTTTCGAGGAGACAGTAACTCAGCTGTCAGATATTTTCGGCGAATCATCATCATTGTTTAGTATTAGATATCATTGTCTAAATCTGGTGAAACATGAAGATGATGAATATGCGGTCCTTGCAGACGTCGTCAAAAGAGAATGTGAACGGTTCAAGTTACGCTCGTTGACAGAAGACCAGTTTAAATGCTTAATATTCATCAAAGCTCTTCAGTCACCGCAAGATGCTGAAATCAGAACTAGACTTTTGATTCGAATGGACCAAGACCCTAACGTCACACTCAGAACATTGACAGATGAGTGTAAATGCCTACAAAGTATCAAACACAACATGTTGATTGAACAGGTAAATCCCAATTTAACCAGCAGTAGTGTCAATGCTATTACTAGGTTAAAAGTCCAGAAGCCGATAGCATCTCGTAACAAACCAACGACGGCATGTTGGTTATGTGGTGATTGGCACTACGTACGATTTTGTCCATTTAAAAAACATAAATGTCAGATGTGCCATAAACGTGGACATAAAGAAGGCCATTGCCAACCAATTCGTACGTCTCAGCCCAAGAAGAAGCGCAAACGTACTGGACATGTGGTGAAATCAGCCGAGTCTAAATCACTTTCGTAGCTGCTTTTCAAACAGACTATGACGTTCGGAGAAAGTATGTGACTATCCAAATGAACGGTGCATCAGCTCGTTTCCAAATCGACACGGCATCAGATATCACCTTAATGTCTAGAGAAACGTACAACTTGCTGGGAAAACCGCCAATGAAGCCATCTAAGAAAACAGCTAAAAGCGCTTCAGGTGGTGTGTTAAAACTGGTTGGTGAGATGCAGTGTAAATTTTCCTTCAACGGAACAAAATGTACAGGTATATGCTATCTGACAGAACGGCCAAACCTTGATCTTCTTGGTCTAGATATGCTAGAAAAACTGGGAATAATGGATTTACCCATTAACAGTGTCTGCAGCGTATCGTGTTCATCATTGGACACCCCGATACTTAAAAAGAAGACAGGTGAAGGGTTACAAGATAAACGAAAGAGGAAGTCAGCCTCTGTTTCTCAGAATAGCCTTGGCCGCTGTACGAATCTGAAAGCTAACCTACCAGCGAAAGCAGATGCCAAACCTACTTCACGTCCGAGACACCCTATACCATATGCTGTTCATGAGCCTCAACAAAACTTATCGGTGGGGAAGCAGCCCAATCGACGGTTGTTTAAAGATATGGTTCCTACAAAGCAGGCGGCTCGTAAGAGTACGGGTGGCAAGGCACCCAGGAAGAAAATTCTCGTATTATTAGCTGCATGCTGATTGGTCAAATCCAGTCCAGTCGATCACGTGAATTTTCTTCCAGAAGTTTTCTCATGTAAAGGCTATAAATAGACTAGCATTGTATTTATTCTTCGCCTTCAAGCCTTCTTGCTTTCTCTGCCTTGGCTTTCGCCATCACCTCCGGCTTCTTTTCCTTGCTATTTTGGAATACAATCCTTCCTGTTCAACCGTGTTTTGATTTGTGTTACTTGTCCAGTGTTTTGTGTCAAGAATACTAAGCAATAAGATTTAGCCGGGAAATATCGTAAGCAAACCGTTGCAACAGATAGTGTAGGTATAGCATAGCGTTCTAGAGAAGAACTAACTACTGGATCCCAGTAGACAGTCGCTTATGCTCTGTCTGAATAAACAGGTCAGTAAGAACTCGAAAAAACAAGGACATTTGCCGTTGCCTCTTCGTCATCTTCGCCTACGCTCCCACTGACTAAAGTGAAAGATGAGTTTGACGGTAACCTTTCTAACCTTCTTCAAAAAGTTAGGCGCTCTGATATAGTAATAATGGCTGGTGACTTCGATACTCAAGTAGGTAGACTAAGTCAAAAGGAAAGACACCTGGGTGGATCTCAAAGATCAAGTGATGGCGACTGTCTGCTGCAGCTGTGCTAAGATAACCGCCTATTTATAGCAAGCACTAACCTTAAGCATAAAGAAAAAACACTTCCAAATATGGAAACCCCAAAGCCGACCCAACTAGATCACATCGCTATAAGCCATCGGTAGAGAAGCTGTATTGAAGACTGCCACTCATTCTGGAGCACTTGTTTAGACTCAGATTATTCCCTAGTGCGAGTGCGTATCTGTTTGAAGCTTACTGGGCGTAGGTAAGAGACCGCAACGAAACCTTTTAGGGTTTTACTTAATGATAGCACAGCTAAGAATATATTTCAGGAATAGCTAGAAAGACGTCAGACATATGTAAATGATGCCCAGCCTGGGGCAGCATGGAATGATATCCAAAAAGCTGTGGAAACAGAAGTGATTTCTGCTAGTGAGTTAAACCATAAGGCTAAGAAGAAGCGGTGGATCTTAACAGCATCTACCAAACTGATAGATGCTCGAAAACCCATCCTACCTGGTTCTGAAAATGAAGAAGAGCAAAGTCCGCTTAAGCACAGGCTGATAAAAGGCCTATGCAATGATCGCGAACAGAGATGGATAGCGAAAGCCGAAGACTTATGCCTGAGACTTTTACGGATGGCGGTCCAGTTTTAGCAGTTAGATTGACTGAGATCTTAGCTAGAATTCTCGAACTGGACGTAATCCCGTCTGACTGGTCTCAATCCCTGATTGTCCCGATTTACGAGAAAGGACAAAAGTCCTCTTGTGACAATCAGAGGAATAAGTCTACCTAATATAGTATCGAAAATGTTGGCCTCAATAATACTCGTGAAGAGCAGACTAGAGAAAACCAGGTTGGTTTTCGACCTGGACGTGGCTGTATAGACCACATCTTCACACTACGACAGGTCCTACAACACAAAAACACATTTAGGCGTCCGACAGAAGTTGTCTTCCTGGACCTTGGTGTGGCATTCAAATCTGTTGATAGTGAGATTTTGTGTCAGTTTCTTTCATTTAGAGGCGTAACAAGGAAGTACATCAACCTTATACAAGCTCTCTACTCGAACATCAATGATCAAGTGAGAGCTTATGGCGAACCGTCATTGGAATTAGTTACTTTAAGTGGTGCTCGTCCGGGCCGCCCACTATCCACATTCTTGTTTACCTTTATCGTAGATATGCTTTTACGGTTAACATTATCATCGTCTGAACTCTCAGTAGTGGACTTGCTATCAGGAGACTCGCTTGTCGACTTAGAATATGCCGACGACATAGTTCTATTCGGTGAAGACGCTGACAAAATGCAGGGTCTTCTAACTACCCTGAACAACAATGCAGGCATGTTCAGGATGAGATATGCCCACTCGAAATGCAAAATGTTAGTTTAAGATTGGCTTGCGATGGCACCTGGACTAGTGATAGGGAGTAAAGTAGTCGAGCGTGTAGACCGGTCCACTTATCTTGGGAGTCGCATCAGTACTGATGGCCTGGTGTCTGATGAAATCTCAGCACGGATACAGAAGGCTCGATCGGCTTTGACCAATTTGCGTCACTTATGGAATAGGCGAGATATTCGTCTGCTAACCAAAAGAAGAGTGTACTGTGCAGCAGTTCGCTCCGTCCTACTATACGGATGCGAAATATGGCCGGTAAGAGTAGAAGGTATTCGTAGGTTATTAGTATTCGATTATAGATTTTTCGGAGCATTGCTCGTATATATCCTGGGGCAACCGAGTAAGCGATGCTGTTGTTAGGAAGCGGATACTAGGTAGGGATAGCTAATAATTAGATGAATTATTGAAACTTCATCATTTGAGGTGGCTGGGACATGTGTTACGAATGCCCGACCATGAGCAATCTTGACGAGCTATGTTTTGTGGTGTAGGAGTAGGTTGGAAGAAGGCTGGATGCGCCCAAACCAAAACATGGCAGAAATCCATGAAGTCACTGAAAACTGAACTGAGTCATGTTGGTAGATGTGGGCTATCTGGTTGGGGTCCGCGAGAAGTCACCAATCGTTAGAGACCTTGAACGACATGGCTCGAAATCGTTTGCGATGGCGCAGGTGCATTCATTCATTGTATTCTCTCGAATCCTAACCTGAATTCCTCATCATCTCTGTCTTTCTCTTTCTAAAATCTTCTGATTAAACTATACTTCTCGAATCATGTCTTCGAACCCTAATCTTTTCCATTACTGCTAATACTTCTACTATCTCTACCGCTATGGGATTTGAACCGACAGTTGCGTCTCTGTGGTGTAGGAGTAGGTTGGAAGAAAGCTAGGTGTGACCAAACCAAAACATGGCACAAATCCATGAAGTCAATGACAACTAGACTGAGCTATGTTAATAGGTGTAGACTACCTGTTTGGGGTAGTATAGTTGTGATCTTGCGACTGTGTTTCACATCCAATTAGGACATTGTAAAACAAACTGCTAACTATTTTGCTTTGATCCCTTTAGAGACTATCATATGTGAGTCACCATTATTGGTGTGTGCTATATGCATTTCATCTGTATCTAAAAACGTAATCAGCTATTTAAACTGAACAAGCTTGAATGGATTTGAAATCGAACAAATGATTGAACACTCAATAACTAGATCACGGAGTTATAGCTTACGTTTTTTAATTCCACGGAAGGAATTAATTCGTTTATCTACCAGAATCATTAAACCGTTTAAATTGTTTGAATAGACGTTTAAAGCATTGTTCATACGTTCAGCTAGGCAGTCGTCATCGGATAGGCTGTATGAAATAATAATAATAATAATAATAATAATAATAATAATAATAATAATAATAATAATAATAATCTCAACACACTTAAACTAAGACAAGTGGTTTAAGCATTCAATGCAACCTTGATACCTGCCGTTTAATTAGAAAAGGTGTCAACAAACTTGAATTGAATCACCAAATCAATCATTGAAAGGTGACCGGAACAATGTTAAAAATGAACATAAACACTTGCAAACCAACTCAATCACTTCATTTCATCTTATGTAGACTGAAAAACAAACCAGTGAAAGAAGACAAATACAGCATTGTTTATAAAATAAGTTATGTCAGTTGTGAGGAACAAGACACTGGACAAAGTAAATCTCTTATTTACGAAAAGAGACTAGCATATGTTATGTTATCAATGATATCAATGAACGTAGATAACTGTGGGCATGAATTCGAAGGGAAAACTGTAGATATTCGTGATCGAAGGAACCTTAATAAGGGTTTCTAAAAGCGTGGTATTAAAATCAAGTGGTAACCGATGAACTTATCGATATAGATTCGATAAATCAATCTAAACTAAGACCAACCAACAACACGGTTAGATGTCAACTGAAAAAAGATAACAAAATTTTTCAAACAGAATATTGCTATGAGGGAGGTTTTCTGTGGTTTGATCTCACGAAATTTCAGAATGTTAAAATGAATATAATGCTATTCCATAGATAAATGAACTCATACAATGTGACTAGATGAAGGAGACTTACTAAACTGCATTGTTGACTGAGGTCTCTTAATGATTACAAATCAAATATGATTAGCAATAAAACAACGTAGTTGTATAGAGAAAGTGAATACAAAATAAACATGATCAAGTGCCCTGGGAAAGTGGAGGAAATTAGTTTGTAGGTCACTTATTCTAAATTCACCCAGGACTAGACTGTCAGGCCTAATCCACGGGTATTGTATCAAACATCAGTACATAATTATTTGGATTCACTAACAATTTGTTCTGATTTGTTCATTCAACCGTTTAAATGTGCATTACCTTGTTAGACTTATTGATTTTGTGTAAAAGCGATCTACACCTTGCCACGAAATGACGAAGAATCCATTTTACAAGTGAAAGACTTGATTTGTGACAAAATAAAGTATTCGTGATTGCATTGCCTACAAAACTAGCCTTATTTTAAATTACTAAGAACTTGAGAAAATGATACATATTATAATATATATTAAAAATGAAAATCACTTCGTTTTGAAAAGAAATCTAATTAGGACTTAACTGATTCTCTTGAGATCTGAATCTCGTGCTTGTTAGTAATTCAGATGGATCCAGTCGAGTTAAACGGAAGTTGAACATTGTTCGTAACTGACGACCCAATTGAACGGTGAAAGTTTCTGATAATGGAATTTGACTAATTTGTTTAGAAATGGATTGTCTATTTATTGTAGACGATTTGTTGAATAAGGAATTCGAAGTTTTAGATGGACTGTATAGAAAACACAATAAATAAGAACTTTTCGTGTACATTTGTCATAAATTTTAAAAAAAAAAATAAAACTCTTACAGAAATATCAGAACTGTTTTGTCAACAGTATTATAAATTTTCAACATACAGAGAATATATCGTACTGTATATAATACAGTTTCGAGTACCCACATTTGCTAGAACGTAAGTTATGAATAACCAGTGAAAAAAGACACATGAAATTATCAAGAAATGTCACCTATGAAGTCACTGGCTATCAAGTTTAACTATGCCAAAAGATGTAGAATACTCATCGAGAGGGCTCAAACTTAACACGTGGTATATATTTAAGAACGGAGATCTTAAGTAGACCAGGGTAAAATCGCGGGTGCGATGAAGTAGTGAATAACAGCTAAGGATTATTTGTCAACAGGACAGAACTAATAACAAGTGACCAACAGACAGACACAAATGCCCACTTAGAAGCATGACTGTTAAGACAAAAAAGTGGCTGTTACAGTACTTTAAGGAATGAAAAATTTCCTTATGTACATATTCATATTCCTCGATCAACATGACATTCTCGGATCTCAAATATATCGGTTTAGATAATGTTATCGTTTCAACTTCAGCCGTAGATGATATGAAACGAACTGTAATCGAATGTGATAAAGTACTGCCAGAAACTGAAGTCCATGTTGTCGGTTAAAATTTGTGATCCAGTTTCATAGCGTGCATGCAAACCAATCGGAAAAAATTGACTCTCAACTGTAAAATCACAAGAGATAAAGCGTCTTGATAAGTTGAGTACATCTCTTCCAACTACATATGGCTATTATGCTAGACGAATGAATATAAGTTTCTATGTGAATGAGTCATTAAACTATTTCATTTTTTAGTTTATCATATCGCATACGAGAAAAAGTAACTGATACCACGGAAAAAAAAATTTTGTTTTACGGTACAAAAATATATACTGACCTATCTTTTAAAAATGTCCTGCATAAACTGGGACGGTTGTTATTTGTTGGCAAACTATTGATATGCTCTTTATAAGACATAACAAATGTTCTTAGAGCTTGGCGATGTTCCCATTTTAATGCGCTTATACAACTATCCCAATGACTTAAAACAATTTCCCTATTGAGATAATAATCCTCTTGAAGTTGTGTGATGGTTTCTGGGACTTCACTACCACGTTTTTGGAGACTACGCTCAGTTTCATCAAAATGTCTGGAAAATCAATTCAGAATAAAATAGAAATATTTATTGCCATGTTTTAAACAAGTGTTAATGGACATACAATTACGAATACTTAAGAATGACAAAGTAATTTTCAGCATTATCCAAGCATCGTATTAAAGGTTCTATGATTGCAAACATGTGATACACAGATTTTTATCCACTTAGTCATTCACAATACTTATTACGTTGGCTTTTAACCTGGATTTGTAAAAAATAGCTACTAGTCTTAAATGAAACATTGTATTTACAAGAATAATTGCATATTTAAGAAAATAAAAGGATTTTGTGCGCACTGATTAATTTAGCATTTGTAAGACTGGAAACCAAAAGCTTACATATAATAATTCGGAATGGAAATCAGAAACCACTAATAAAAGTGATTTGGACAATCAGAGGAACAATCAATATGGGTATACGGAATGCCTGCACAATGTAGAGGACAGGGAGAACGATTCAAGTTGCTGAAGAATTAAAACAACACAACCTGGTGGTGCTTGGAATGAGTGAAATATACTGGACGCAGACTGGACCCAGAATCATCAAAGCACCCTTCAAAATAAAGAAAAAGGGGATTACAATATTATGCGCCTACTGACGGTAACGCAAAAGACGATAAAGATCACTTCTATGGGAGGTTGCAGTCAGTCTTCGAGAAATGTCTAACAAAGAACCAGATTATTCTGATGGGAGACATAAACACCAAAGTTGGAATGGACAACAATTTATATGAAGACATCATGGGACGACCACAACTGAATCAATAAGCAGTTCAGAAGGACCGTGGATGATGTAAGAACAAATGAGAAGCTGAAAGCAGTCAATCAGTCACAACGTAGAACTTCGTACGTACATACATCAGCTCAAGTTACCATACCACATTGGCACAGAGACGCAATTGCCAATTCAAATACTATAGTGATAGAGGTAGTAGTAGTAGTAGTATTAGCAGTAATCGAAAAGATTTATGATCGAATATATCATTCGAGATGCACACCCCAGAGGAATCAATTTAAAAAAATAAAAAAACGGTTATGAAGGGTTCAGAAAATTAGGTTTTGAGAGAAGACAAGGAATGGATGCGCCTGCGTCACTGCAAACGATTTTGATCCATGGCATTAAAGGTCTCTAAGCATCGATTACTATCATCTCGCGGACACCAGCCAGGTAGTCTACACTTACCAACATGACTCAGTTCAGTTGTCAATGAATTCATGGATTTGAGTCATGTTTTAGTCTGGCCGACCCTAGCTTTCTTCCTACCTACTTCTAAACCGCAAACAAAGGCTCGACAAGACAGTCGGTGGTTGGACATTCGTAACACATGTCTTAATCATCTCAACTGATGAAGTTTCAATACTTCATCTTTGGCGATCCACTAAATTGAGAGGAAACTACCATGGAGAACAACTGGAATGGGGTCAAAAAAGCAAACTTCAGCATGTCATAAGGTTCTGCGCCACAAGAAGCACCATTACAAGGGATGGATCTCCGTTGATACTCTCTGGATAAGATTTAATAAAGGAAGAACAGGGAGACAACAATCAATATCAGCCGAACAAGAAAAGATAAAGTCAAGTTACCGGCCGAATACATAGAAGAAAACAAGCAAGTGAAAAGGAGCATTAGGGACGATTAGCAAAAACATCTGAAAGATCCAGCAGTGATAACACAAAAAGCTGTGACAGAATGAAATACGAGACAACTATACGATACAACGAAGAGACTAGTAGGTAAACCAGGCCAGAGTAACCAGTCAAGAACAAGGAAGGCAAACCAATCACTAACATTGAAGAGCGGCGAAACAGGTGTATAGAGAACTTTGAAGAACCTTTCAACAAACTTGACACAAGCATACCTCATGAAGATACCAAAGAAGTGAGATCTTAGATAATGAGAGGACTAAAGAGGAAGCACTATATTACCAATATCAGGGAAAATTTTCGACGGTGTTGTAAAGCCGTAGATACCAAACTTCGAGATCAACAGACTGGATTCCGTACAGATCGACCATGTATCGACCAAACCGTGAAATTACGCATTACTGTGGAATAATCAATTGGATGAGACTCGCCACTATTCATCAACTTCCTTGAGTAAGAGAAAGCATTTGATGGAGTGGACAGGATGACATTTTGGAGGCTTCTTTGACACTACGGTCTATCTGTGAAGACAGTCAACATAATATGGAATTCTTATGATGGATTAAACTTCAAGACCGTGCATGAAGGACACTTCACAGATTCATCTAAAGTGAAAACCGGTATCAAAGCTGTCTACCTTCAACTTTTTTCTGGTGGTTAACTGGGTTACGAAAACCTCAATATCTGAAGAGAAGCAAGGGATACACTGGACAGCTTAGGTGCAGTCGGACTATTTTGGCTTTGCAGAGGACCTAACTCTAATATCCCATACACAGCAACAAATGAAGACGTTCAATGTAAAAGTAGAGGCTACAGTCAGTCAGTCAGTTGCAACGTAGAACTTCGTACGTATGTACATAAGTTCATGTTGCCATACCACATTATTAGCACAGAGACGCAAATGTCAAATCAAATCCCATAGTGATAAAGATAGTAGAGGTATTAATGTTATAATAAAGAAGACTAGGGTTTGAAGATATTATTCAAAAAAAATAATTCAGTGAGATAAGGTTAGAAAGACAAAGGTAGAGTTGCTGACGAATCCAGAAGATTAGGATTTGACAGAGCTCAAAGAGTGGATGCACCTGCGCCATTGCAAACGATTTTGAGCCATGTCGTTCAAGGTCTCTAACCATTGATGACTTTCGTCTCGCGGACCCCAACCAGGTAGTCTACATCTACCAACATGACTCAGTCCACTTGTCAGTGACTTCATGGATTTCTGCCATGTTTTGGTCTGGCCGCCCCTAGCTTTCTTCCAACCTACTCCTACACCACAAAACATAGCTCGTCGAGGCAGTCGGTGGTTAGCCATACGTAACACATGTCCCAACCACCTTAACTGATGAAGTTTCACCACTTCATCGATTGATCTGCCATCCTTACCTAGTACTCGTTTCCTAACAACAGCATTGCTTACTCGGCTGTCCCACGATATACGAGCAATGCTTCTTAAACATCTATGATCGAATACTAGTAGCCTACGAACATCTTCTACTCTTAACGGCCATGTTTCACAGCCATATAAGAGAACGGAACGGACTGCTGCGCAGTACACCCGCCCTTTGGTTAGCGAACGGATATCACGCCTACGCCATAAGTGACGCAGGTTGGCAAAAGCCAATCGAGCTTTCTGTATCCGAGCTGAGATTTCGTCAGTCACCAGACCGTCAGCACTGATGAGACTCCCCAGATAAGTGAAGTGATCTACACGCTCGACTACTTCACTCCCTATCACTAGTTCAGGTGCCGAAGCAACCCAGTCTTGAAGCAACATTTTGCATTTCGAGGGGGAAAACCGCATCCCGAACATGCTCGCATTGTTGCTTATGGTAGTCAGAAGACTCTGCATTTTGTCAGCGACTTCACCTAATAGAACTATGTCATCGGCATATTCTAGATCAGTAAGCGACTTTCCTGGTAGAAGGTCAACCCCTGAAAAATCTGACGAGCTTAATGTTAACTCTAACAGGATGTCTACGACAAAGTTGAACAAGAATGGAGAGAGTGGACAGCCCTGACGGACACCACTTGATGTAGAGAATTCAGATGACAGTTCGCCATATGCTCTCACTCGACCAGTGGTGTTCGAGTAGAGTGCTTGTATAAGGTTAATGTACTTCTTTGGTACACCTTTCAATGACAGACACTGCCACAGAACCTCACGATCCACTGAGTCGAATGCCGCCTTAAGGTCCAGGAACACGACTATTGTCGGACGTCTAAATGTGTGTCTGTGTTCCAGGACCTGTCGTAGTGTGAAGATGTGGTCTATACAACCACGTCCAGGTCGAAAACCAGATTGGTTTTCTCGAGTCTGCTCTTCGCGAGCTCTAGTTAGACGTCTAAGTATAATCGAGGCTAACAATTTTGAAACTATATTAGTTAAACTTATTCCCCTGTGATTGTCACAAGAGGACTTCTGTCCTTTCTTGTAGATTGGGACAATTAGCGACTGAGACCAGTCAGATGGGATTACGTCCATTTCCCAGATTCTACCTAGGATCTCGGTCAGTTTAACCGTTAAAACTGGACCACCATCCTTAAACATCTCAGGGGTAAGCCTATCGGGACCTGCCGCTCTACCTCTCTTTAGATTTCCTATAGCTTTCTCAACTTCATGTAAACTGGGAGAACTTAAATCGATTTGCCATTCAGGATGACTGGTGATCGTGGGCAACCGAAGTGTGGCTGAAGGCCAGTTGAACTGATCCCTAAAGTGTTCTGCCCATCGGTCCAGTCTCCTAGATTGAGAATGGATAATAAGACCATCCTTTTCCGAGATAGTCTCACTTACATTCGGGTTCCTAATACCGGTTTCTTTGATAAGGCGGAAAAGTTGTCTACTGTTGCCTATCGCCGCTGCCTTTTCCATCGCTTTTGCTTTCGCCACCCACCACTGTTCACGGTCGTTACGTAGGCTTTTTATAAGTCTGCGCCTAAGCTGACTACGCTCTTCATCATGTTCAGAGTCAGGTGGGATGCGTTTTCGTGCATCCATCAGTTCGGTGGATGCGACTGAAATCCACGGCTTCATCCTAGCCTTATGGTTTACCTTGCTAGCAGATATCACTGCTGTTTCCACAGCCTTCTTTATATCATTCCAACCTGACTCCGGATGGGAATCACTTGCATGATCGCCCAACTGTTTTTCTAGTTCCTCCTGAAATATTTTCTTAGCTTGATTATCATTAAGTAAAGCCCTAGGAGGCTTCCTTACGGTGTCTTTCCTACGTCCAGCAAGCCTCAAACTAATACGTGCTCGCACTAGGGCATGATCTGAATCTAAACATGTGCCCCAGAACGAGCGACAGTCCTCTATCGAACCCCTCCATCGGTGGCTGATGGCGATATGATCTAGTTGTGTCCAACGTTGAGACGACTTCGGGGGTCGCCAGGTCAAAAGGTGTTTTTCCTTATGCTTAAAATTAGTGTTTGCTAGAAATAGGCGGTTATCTGAGCACAGTTGCAACAGACGGTCGCCATTGTCTGTTCTTTGAGCCGCGAGACCGTAACATCCACCTAGGTGTCTTTCATTTTCACTTAGTCTACCTACTTGTGCATTGAAGTCACCAGCCATTATAACTATATCAGAGCGCTTAACTTTTTGGAGGAGGTCCGAAAGCTTTCTGTAAAACTCATCTTTTACATCATCTGGGCTGCAGTCAGTGGGGGCGTAGGCTGATATGACGAAGAGGCAACGGCGAGTGTCCCTATCTTTCCGAGTCCTTACTGTCCCGTTCAGTCGGACGGCGCACAAGCGACTATCTACAGGGATCCAGTCAAGGAGAGATTGTTCTGCCCTACGACTCAATGCTATACCTACACCGGCGAGGCCCCTAGAAGCAGCATCAGGGCTACCGGATACACGAAGGGTAAATCGAGTCGCTTCTTTATCTTGACATGGTGAGGTCAAATGAGTGATGCTACTCGGATCCTGTATGCGCGTTTCCGAGACGCAGCACACATCGATGGAACGAGATTCTAAAGTCCGAGCTAAGGAAGCCTGTTGCCCTATTTGACACAATGTCCGTACATTAAATGCTCCAACATGTAGTCTAGAGCGAGGTTTAAGGAGACCAGGAACGACCTTTCGCGAACTCGTGTCGTCTGCATTAGCTGTGCACTGTGATGAATGAATGTGAGAAGAGTTAGTCGTGGAGATAAGAGAGGTATTAGGGGATGTAGGAAGGATTTGATTTTGAACAATTTTGTCTCGTGTGCTGTTGCGGGTATGAGGGCGGTTATCACTTCCCGGCTGCCCACACCGTGGAAGGTTGTTTCTTGACGAACCTGAAAAGGAAGATGGATTAGTGGTGCGTGACCGCAGAGTCCAAGGGACAACTGCTTGAGGCCGGTCACGCACGGCCTTTTTATGAAACGTTGTTTGAGGATTAGCTCCGTTCTTAAAGGCCCTTAGTGGGCACCCTTACCCAAGGAGACGGAAATCCGTGAGGTAGGGGAGGTGTGACATTTTTAGGGCCGACCTTTTCTAACCCTTCCTTCCTTGTGAGAAGGCAGCATCGCTGCAGATGCTGGTTGTCCGAGGGAAACACCTTACTGCTGTCACACCCCTCTGCAGTCAGCAGTACGACTTCGCCCTCAGACCTTGGGTAGCTGCTTTTAGTCTCATCGTTCTCCAATCGACCTGCCTGGCATGGTAGGACCTGCAGGAACATGTGTTCCAGCCAGTATAGCTCGGTTGGGTCATCACGATAGGCAAGCCCGACCACCACGTCAAGGTAGCAGCTTCGGTCGGGAGAGGCTACAGAAGCAGGCCTCAACGTACACGAGGGAAAAATCAAGATCCTCAGATATCACACAGTATGAACCGACCAAATCACACTTGATGGACAAGCTCCAGAGGTGGAAATTTTGGCATACCAGGGTAGAAAAAGTGATAAACAAGGAAGATCTGATGCCGACGTGAAGGCATGGATTGGCAAGGCAACGGCTGCACCTATACAACTGAAGAGTATCTGAGACTGAAGACAACCGACACCAGTCATAATTTCCAATATAAACGTCAAGACAATCCTATGGTTTTGGGTGGAAACTTGGAGAACTGATTATTTTTAGCCTAGAGTTTTTACTGCTGAGCATTTATTGTTATTAGATTAAATCCAAAGCCTTGAAGCAATAATGGTTTGTACGGCAAGTAAAATTCTGATGAGCTTTTAAAAATTCATTTAATTGGCAATAAAGTGTAGTAGTAGTAGTAGTCATTGTTATGTATACTTTTAGTGATTTTATTTCATGGATAACCACAACAAGTGAAACTGAGTGCTTTTAGACCGACGGATCAGTTATTCCTCTTATTTGGATCTAAATGGCTTGTTACACAACTAGAGAGACAATCAGTGCCTTAAAGTAACAGTAAATACATTCTACTAATTAATGAAAATGTCAACCACAATATTGATCAATTAAATCTGACCGATAAGAGATATAAATTCATAATTCGAATGTAGCACATTTAAATATGTCGGAGACGAAGATTTGTATTCCTCTTAAAAATAATACTTAGGTCAATAAAATAAAGATTACTTTTCGTCCATTTCTCTTAGGATATCATTGCGTTTTTGAAGTTTATAACCAATTTCTAGGGCGAATGATTCTTCTAAGTGAATAAATTCTTGTGCAGCAGGCGAATGAATCATCTGGTTGAAAGCATGCGAAAAATTTTCCTGGTCATTCAGCTTGGCTAGTTTTAATGTGGGATTCTGATTAGATAAGATTACTGATGAATAATTGCTTACGTTATGATGTGAAGAGTCGAAATCAGAACAAAATTTTTCTATGTTCAATACACCAGACTTTAGACTGTTTACCAAATTCAAATAATGCTCTTTAAAGTCGTTTGTAGTTTCTTTAGCTATAAAATCTGATAATCTTTCATAGAAAACTAAATATTTAGCAAGGGAATCTTATGAGATATACCTTTAGAAGCGATGTCCGGAATACCATGTACACTTGCTAATTGGGAAGCACATTCTGAAATAGTGAATCCCATAGGAAATTCTAGCCACTCTTCGACATGAACATGAACATCATGTTCAAATGATTCAGAAAATTCAAACAAAACTTTCCTCATTCGGGGATGAAATGAAATTTAGGATAGAATATCTGAAAAAGAATCAAAGGGTGACGTCAAGAAAACTTATGCTAATGTAATGAAAAGTACTTTTAATTAGTTCGAATCGATTACTAAAATGTTAGTTAACCCTGTGGTTTTCTTAAGTATAAATTTCCTAACTAAGCTGCTTGTATAAAATCGATGATACAAATTAAGGTTCGGTGTATTAGTCAATATTCACATAATTCCAATATTTTAATCTCTTCAGCAAAATAATCTTTCGAATATAAGGACCCCAATAAAATCTACGTGACAATCTGAAAATTTGTTAGCTAGATATAAATAGCCACGTTTTTATTTATGTTTGGCTGAATCCTGCTGTAAGCGTTAAATATACCACACGGTTGCTCATTACGAAGTAGATGGAGCGAATTTCGAATTTCTGACCGGCAACTTGGAAATCAAGAGCTTAGACAAAGACCTATGGCTGAATTGATTTGAATAAGATAATAAGCGTACCGTGTTACTCAATCAGTGTTGATTTCATTATGAATATTAGCTCAAAATAAATTAATTTTTTTCGATTCATAAATTGTTTGCACGATAAAAACAGTAACGGTGAAAAATTGATGTCAAAGTAAACAAGAACAAGAATAAGAAGCTACAAAGTATGCTCAAAAATAATAAACAGAGAAAAAGCTATCGTAAGGGGACTACTGTGAGTTTTTCAAGTCTTCAGATAAGTTTTTACCATGTTGAGATTTTAAATCAAGTCTCCTACAGGTAATCATGAGACCAAGATAGTCACATGTGAATCTAACTGATTTGAAAAGTATTTAACCCGAGCATAAAATCACAAGGTAACCTTGGGTCTATATCGTGATGGATTTGACTGACCTATCATAGTGATTAACTGCAAAAATATTTCACATTCTCTTCAACAAGATTTGGGATGAGTCAGTCAGTCAGTTGCAACGTAGAACTTCGTACGTATGTACATAAGTTCAGGTTGCCATACCACATTAGCACAGAGACGCAAATGTCAAATCAAATCCCAGTGATAGAGATAGTAGAGGTATTAATGGTAATGAAGAAGACTAGGGTTTGAAGATATTATTCAAGAGGTATAATTCAATAAGGTCGGAAAGACAAAGGTAGAGGTGCTGATGAATCCAGAAGATTAGGATTTCAGAGAGCACAACGAATAGATGCATTTGCACCACTGCAAACGATTTTGAGCCATGTCGTTCAAGGTTTCGTCTCGCGGACCGCAAACACGTAGCCTACATCTACCAACATGACTCAATTCACTTGTCAGTGACTTCATGAATTTGTGCCGTATTTTGGTCTGACCGCCCCTAGCTTTCTTCTTACCTACCCCTACACCACAAAACATAGCTCGTCTAGGCAGTCGGTGGTTAGGAATTCGTAACGCATGTCCTAATCACCTCAACTGATGAAGTTTCACAACTTCATCTATTGATCTGCCATTCTTACCTAGGACTCGTTTCCTAATAACAGCGTTACTCATTCGGGTGTTCCACGATATACGAGCAATGCTTCGAAGACACCTATGATCGAAAACCAGTAACCTACGAATATCTTCTACTCTCACTGGCCATGTTTCACAGCCATACAGTAAGACGGAGTAAACTAATGCGCAGTACACTCGTCCTTTAGTCAGCAAACGGATATCTCGCCTAAGCCATAGTTGACGTGAGTTGGCAAAAGCCAGTCGAGCTGTTTATATCCGAGCTGAGATTTCGTCGGTCACCAGGCCATCAGCACTGATGAGACTTCCAAGATAAGTGAAGTGGTTTACACGTTCGACTACTTCACTCCCTATCACTAGTTCAGGTGCCGACGAAACACAGTTTTGAAGCAACATTTTGCATTTCGAGGGAGAAAACCGCATTCTGAACATGCTTGCATTGTTGCTTAGGGTAGTCAGAAGACTCTGCATTTTGTCAATGTCTTCACCGAATAAAACTATGTCATCGGCATATTCTAAGTCAATAAGCGAGCCTCCTAGTAGAAGGTATACTCCTGAAAATTGAGACGAGGATAAGGTTATATCTAGCAGCATGTCTGTGATAAAATTAAACAAGAATGAAGAAAGTGGACATCCCTGACGGACACCATTTGAAGTAAAGAATTTCGTTGACAGTTCGGCATAAGCTCTCACTCGACCAGTGGTGTTTGAGTAGAGAGCTTGTTTAAGGTTAATGTACTTACTTGGTACACCTTTCAATGACAGACACTGCCACAGAACCTCACGATCAACAGAGTCAAATGCCGCTTTTAGGTCCAGGAAAACAACTATTGTACGACGCCTGAATGTGTATTTGTGTTCGGACTCGATGCTATACCTACACCAGCGAAGCCTCAAGAAGCAGCATCAGTGCTTCCCGGTACACGAAGAGTAAATCGAGTTGGTCCTTTATTTTGACAAGGTAAAATCAAATTAGTGATCTCACTAGGATCCTGCATGCGCGTTCCGGAGACGCAGCATACATCTACGGCGCGAAATTCTAAAATACTAGCTAAGGAATCCTATTGTCCTATTTGACACAATGTCCGAACAGTAAGTGCTCCAACATGTAATTTAGAACGGGGTTTCAGGAGACCAAGAATGACGTTTCGTGAAATCGCATCGTTTGCATTAGCGGTACGGGGTAATAAAAAAATGTGAGAAGAGTTAATTGTGGAGGTAAAAGAGATGTTAGGGGGTGTAGGAAGGATTTGTTTGTGACCGGTCTACTCTCGCATGCTGTTACGGGTGTGGGTCGGATGTCACTTTCCGGTAGCCCAAACCGTGGAAGGGTGTTTTCGGAAGAACCTGGAAAGGAAGGTAGATTAGTGTTGGTCTTAACGACCTTGGAGCGTGACCGCAGAGCACAACGGACAACTGCTTGAGGCCGGTCACGTACGGCATTTTTATGGGTAGTATTTAAAGTGTTAACTCCTTTCTTGTTTAATAGGCCTAACTGCCGGAGACGAAAATCCATGCAACAAGGTGAGGTGTGACAGTTTTAGGGTCAACCTTTCCCAACCCTTGTGAGAAGGCAGCATCGCTGCAGATGCTGGTTGTCCGAGAGAAACACCTTTCTGCTGTCACACCTCTCTACAGTTAGCAGTACGACTTCGCCCTCAGATCTTGAGTAGATGCCTTCATTATCATTGTTCTCCAATCGACCTGCCTGACACGGCAGAGAAAGATATCAGAATAAGTAACAAAAATTTGACAGAATCGGAAGGGAAAGCCCAGGATAGGTAAGATAATACTGGTCGACGGCCTATGCTCCATTGGGGGTAACAGGCGTAAGTAATCATAGCGATTATTGCTCTTGTTGATCCGTGCTCTTTGGTTTCGTTCAATCCATCCTCCACATTTAAAACTGTAGTCTATGTCAAACTACCCATGCCTGTAAACTATAATGAATCCCGTATTCATTACCTTTGGATTTTTTTATAATCTTGATCACCTACTTTTACTTGTGTAAAAACTTTGATAGCTAGGTTATTCACAATTCAGTCGCTTGCAAGTGAAAGCAGGATAAGACAATTACAGAGTAGATACTTTCAAAAGGAATGTATTTGAAGGATTCGGATTCGAAACCAGTCACGAATGCTAAGGACCACAAAATGCTACTACACATCTCGACTTACAATTTCGTAATGTTAATGTATCATGGAGGGATTTATGTGGACTGACAAAAGAACATTTTAGAGAGCCGTTTATCTAAAAGCATATGCATAATGTAGTGCAGGCTAATATTATTGCCAAAAAACTTATGGATAATACTATTTACTCTTAATCCCGAAATTGTCGTTAACAAGGATTTTTATCTCCGACTTAGTAGTTGACAACAAAATTACGATAAGACTGTATAGCTTAACTATGCGTGATGTTAGTAAGACATGAAGTACCAGTGTTACCTTTGAAATCATTTTGCTACCGAACAATAAAGTTACACACATCGATATGCCTCACGACATTAAAACGACACAACGCAATAAAATAAAAAAGGGGAAATAAAGGCAGATATTAAAGAAGATTCTCTTGTAAACTCGATAAAAACAGGCGAAAATGCACCAGAATGTCACTTTTATGATAAGCCCAGGATAAGTAGGAAAAACTTGACCCCGAAATTTCTTTTTAGAGATCTTTCCATATTAACAGTTCCCTCTAGTCGAATTTTGCCAAAACTTAGCACCATAGAAAAGGAAGAGGATTTTCCCGAAATAAACTTAATATTTTCTCTAAAATTCCGATATATTACTTGACAATTTATCCTTTTTCATTTGTTCGGGTTCAAAACTTAATTGTCATAGACAATTTTTGTGAGTTTTCAGGACGTCCTACAGAACTTCACGAACTGAAAGACGTATAGGTGGTAAAGAAATTGCTGCTGGTTTAGGTTAATATTTTTACAAACTAGAAAACTCTACAAATTTCTACAAAATTTATATGACGATCAAATATTACCGATCATGATTTCATGTGGGGCATATGACCAAAACGTAAAGACCATTAGTATAGGATTGGAATTAAGTGCAACATAAGTGCGGACACGGGTTGACCTTGAGAATTCGTGTACTCACGTTGATTCAAAAATACGGCTCCCACCATCCAATATATCCAGTATTTATAATGTTTTTCCCGAAAAAGTAGAAACCAATTGATTTCTTTGTGCCCGATTCTTGTTCTTACGATACGTTTCCAGGTTTCTGATAGTGTCTGATGGATAGAGGTCTAGCCGCCCCAGTGCATTATTGCTAAAGTGGTGCCGGATGTTAATAATATGAACAAAAAGTAGTATTAGGAACAGGAATTTATTGCTTGGAATTAGCATAGAGGTTCTCGCCAAAAAATTTATATGCATCGGAGTCGAAGATGTAAACGTTGACACGAAGCCTGTATTCATCTTGAATGTTAACACAAATATATCATATGCTTTGTTTCTGAATGTACAAAACTATGCTGGAAGAGGCTCATCCGTAACGCTACCACTGTTCAATTCCAGTTCTGGGTAGTGAAAGTATTATTTATTTCGAATGAGTTTTTAGTGAAGAAATTAATGCTGTTGAATCCGCCTACTCCAAAACTCCGTATAAACCACATAACGAATCGAAATTTCCAAGTTTTGGCTTTTATCTCATTGGATGTTCAAATGGTAATTGATGATTTTACGTAAGTTCCAAAGGTCTATAGGACGCATCATGAACGTTAAGTACGACAGGTCGAAGGAGAGTGAAATTTCAGTGAGTCAAGTGAATAACTTGGCATGCTGTGAAGGATGTATTCTAACTATTCTTCCTCACAAAAGTGCAAATATTTTGTTAAGCATAACTGAGAAAGGTCTTTTGTACCACTATCAAGTCAAAGTGAACACTGAAATATCTGTCAAAGAAGTGACAAAGGTAAATGAAAACTACTGTTTCTGCACCATAATGTGTGATCTATGAATCTTTTTAAAGGTCGATATAAAACCAGAAATATCGATATGTCGAGTTTTGCTTTCAGTTATCAGTACACAAAAAATGATCACTCCTGACACTTAGTTTTGGATGTAGATTCGTGTATTGTAGACTGAACCCCTGTGTTAGTCCTTCCCTAGCAGGCGTATGAGAGTATCCTGTCTTCTTCAGAACGAGTCAACAAAAGTAAGTTAAAGAGTCTTCTGATTTCCATGAGCATCTATACAAGCTGAATCGTTATGAGTTCTGGCAGTTGGTGACAATGTTTCATGTGTAAACGTGAACTGGTAATATAATATTTGTGTGACGAGATATGCATATCTGCGTTCTTTCAATATACTCTTTTGCAGGATCATGTAAAGAAAGTATAATTATTTCCACCAAAGAAAGCTGCGAAGTCCAGAAACATTACATTTTCAGCAATAAAATATTCAGAAGTTACGGTATGGCCATAGTAGCAAGGAGGTGGTCTAGCATTGACTAGAATAATTTCCCTCTCAGGCTGGTTAAAACTGACTCTGAAGAAGCATCAGCCTTCGATTATCGATAAATTAAACAGATCCCAGATGGCTTTCGATAATAGGTTCCAAACCTTACCTATTCTAGTAGAATGGAGAACCACTATGGATTACCGTTGGATAGAAAATATGCCAAAATGCAAGAATCATGAACATAAAGTATAGATTTCCATGAATACTCTGGGCAGGATACAAGAATAGATCAGAACAGAGATAATAATTCAAAACAGCTGAATAAGACCAGAGAAAGCAAAGAAAAACCGGATATACAAATGTGAGCAGATGACTGAGGAAAAGCGTTGGAAATAAAGAGCAGAAATACGCAGAAAACCTTGCAGCGAAAGCCGAAAATGCTAGAAGAAAAGAACTTTATAATGAAACGAAGCTAGTATAGAAATAGAGTAAACCAGAGACCACTATATATCAAACAGGTAAACTGATCATTGAGATTGAAGAGCAGTGAGAAAAGTGGAAGAGAGTTCTCGATTGGGCCAGTGCTGCCTAAATGCTAGTGGAAAGCAGTGGCCTCCCCATCGCTCTCACCTTACCAACAATAATAATTTATCAGGACCATCAGAAAAATCTGAAACGACAAATTCAGACATAGAGACAATTCGAAAGAAGTTCTGCGTTTCCTGCACAAACGTTTAGATGGAGGAAGACCTACCAATCGGCTGGGATGAAAGACACAATGTTAACGTTAAAATCATAATGAACTCCTACGAGAACCTGAATTTTATGTCGTTAATTCCAAGGAAAAACAGGTGTCAGACAAAAGCGACTACCCTCCCCTTTTCTCCTTCTGATTGTTGATTGGATTGGGAATATTTCCATATATTAGGAAAGACAAGGAATACAGTGTACATCTTGGACTCAGCTGGACAATCTGAAATTCTCAGGTGACTCAGCCATTTTATCACACAGATGGCAAGAAATGCAGATAAAACCATACAGCTTTATAGGAACAAGACCTAATATTCACACTGGAAAGTCTCTGTAGTACGTACCTGAGCAGCATCATTGATAAACTAGGGGGATCTGAGGCAAAAATGACAGTTCGAATCAAAAACGTACAATCGAAGAATATTTGGTATTTATAAATGGCTTTTAAAGTAAGTCACTGTAGATAAACTGTCCAGCGACCATCAACAATAACCTACTGTGGAAAATAATAAACTAAATCCCAAGTCAAGAGGAAATTAGGGAAAGATGCTAGAAGTAGGTAGGAAATTCTAGATAATCACCATTAGATTGGATTACGAAAAAAGTCATAACTTGTGATCCTAAAAGTGAAGATGAAAGTGTCGGGCCAAGGAACGTATAACTCTGGCAACTGGAGGCAAATGAAAGGAACATGAGTAACATTTACAAACAGCTGAATACGAGAACTCAGGAGAAAGTTGTTTTCAGATCAACGATTGCCGGCCTATGATTCAAGAGCCGTAGCGGACTCGAGTGAGTCAGAAACATAACATTTTATTGGATTAAATTTTAAAAGTACTTTGCACCTTTACGGTGTTAATATTGTTAGTTGTAGTTACCGATCCAAGTATAGTCAAAGCGCTCATTCACAATATATACGGCTTCTTGTCCAGTCCACAAGCAAGTATCTTGTTATTACGACTGTTGAAGACGACAATGAGACAATCCTACTTATGATAAATTTAAAAACTATTTAAAATATTTCATAGCGTAATTTCCATTATACTTCTCAGCATATGCTTCTCCATCCTCTCAAAATCAGATTATTAATTAACAGATATATTTTAATGTGTGAAGTCTGATTATCGTGTCGCTAATGTCGTGAAGTATATACTAAAATTTAGGCAAGAATGTTATCGCAATTCACAAATATTTCATGGTGTAATCCCTCAAAAATTTATGTTCAAAAACAAAATCATTTTAGGTAAGAGTGTATTAAAATTATGAATTTTGGAAAATCATTTATTTCAACAAGAGATGCTAAGAATTAGATAAACGTTATCGTTAACTCGAATATGCTTACTGTATGTGAAAACCGATAGAATAGTTTACAGCTCAAAAAGCCGTATTTACAAGTATTCAGAAACAAATCCGATAAATTCTTCATAATTTAATGTCCCATCTTTGTTTTTGTCATATTTCTCAACCCATTGTTCAACTGGTACAGGAAATATAAAATTACAGTCACTTTTCATATAATTTCGTAATTCGTCCTTTGAAATTTTCCCATTCTTATTCTTATCCATTTCACGGAATATTTTCCTCAAAGCAGCACATCTTAAAATGAATATAAAAATTTATTATTTTTCTTGGATAAACTACGTCATTATTCACGTATTTTGGAAAAATCAATGACAAAATGATGAATAGGTACCCTGTTAATGAAATGAGATGAACATTTAAAAGAAAATTATTTTTCTTCAATTAGATCTTTTTAAGAAAAGCGTAGTCAAAATTAGATATCACAGAATTCGGTGGAAAAAACCTGTTTTTATGGATTAGGTATGATCTACTATGCTCTTAAGGTTAATCGACAACTTCCCTGGAAATGGTATTACTTTTCACAATAAGACGAAATCCTGTTTGACAGTAAGCAGCTATTTGAGTGAAGAATAACTTATTGTCAGATCAGAAAAAGCAAGTTATAGAATAGTGAGATCAATTTCAAAACCTCATTAGTATTCAGATTTACCTACTCATAGAGACAGCTTTATTCTTAGTAAGTCAGCTGATTATGTATCGGTTTGGAGAAACTGAGAACAACGGTTGAGTGTATTCTGATGATCAGTTTCTTAGAATAACAGCGTTTAACCACGGTGTTGAGTAGTATACTTAAATGTCCACAGCTTGTTCCTCATTTGAAAAAATAAGTCCACGAGAAATTTGTTTAGCTCTTTTTTTCGTTAAAAGGTGTAGCTCAAACTCATCAACAGCATTATCTCAGCAATCTGATTATTTCTTTTGATTATCGAAGGAAATTAAATAAACTTTTGTTGTCTCATAGCGACTCAAGGAATATTACAAGTAGAAGATTACGAAATAATTAAATGTCAAAATCCATCTGATCAATGAATCCATGCTTAAATTTATTCAATTCAATCTTTACTATTATTTATGCACATATATCAACTAGATTTGGTATGTGATACAAAAATTCAACTGAGTTTAGTCCCATTTACAATTTCGAACCTGTTTTTAATTCTAAGTAAAATAAGTGTCGAAACATGTGCAAATTATTGACATACTGTGTAATCAAAACAAACATTTAAGCCTAAGATTCAAATCATGCAAAGTTATTCAAATATCTAAATGACACGATCACGATAATCTGATGAATGTGATTTTATTGCTAGCATGATGCAGGTAAGATTAAGATATTTTGGAGGTATAAAGGGAGTTTTGTTTCAATAAATTATTAGCACAAAAAGTCTTCTGTTTAATATTTTCTCATATGATTTTTCCCATAGATAAGGGACTGTGGCAGAGTAATATGAATTCTCGGGTAGAGTTTTGGGAGGTTTGTGTTTTTACACATTTGAAATCATCGATCAATCATTGTCAGACCACCATTAGAAACCTGGAAGCACTGGAAGACGGCCGTTTCATCCTGGTATTGGACTCATTAGCAGTGCGAATCCACGACTCCTGCACCTCGCATGATTCAAACCCGGGGCTTTCGGTATTGTGCGCAAACGCCTAACCATCGTACCACTGGGCCGGCATCCAACGGTGTTAATATCTAACTCTGATTGATCTAGGGATTTTGCGCGACCTCACCCATTTGTCTTTGGTAATTACTGCCTACACCCGATTGATTGATGATTTCAAATGTGTAATATGAATTCACTTAATTCTGTGGATGGATTCTCTTCGGCTGCTTACAACCAGTGCACATACTTTAAATCATTATATCATTTAAGATTGATCGAAAGGTTATAAATATGAAAATAAGGTAAGAAGTATCCTGGCTGATGAATATTTACATGGTAACTAGTGTGAAAATCTTAGCAGAAAACATTGCAAATACGTGTAAACAATTTTTTTTTAGAATATGAAAATTGAAATCCAAAGTTACGGAATAATAATAGAAACCAAGAAGTAAAGCTCAGAAAATATAACCCAATAAGCAGGGAAATGAAATGAGCGCGTGAAATATTACATTACTCAATCGAACGATGAATATTTAGATTAGATTTCAATGTTTTATTAGCCATTATTAAGGTGAAACAATACCAAGTCCTCTATCAAGCAGATCACAGGCACTATTGAAACATGTTAATCTCCTAGTCTCAACTGTTATTATTTGTGGTTCTGTGTTGTGAACAGAAATCTTCCAGGTTAAATAAATAAATAAATATTACTATGACCACCCTAACAGAATCAAAGGATGCTTTCAAATTTACTTATAACTTAGCAGAAGAGTATGTGAATTTTATGATACTTACTGTAGTGAGTGAAAAAGGGAATTCTTAGGTTTAAAAATCTAATTTTTTATTCTACACTAATGTATAACTTAATAAGGTTTAGGCATTTGCGAATACTATGAGATTTATCTATTAACACATTGTTATGTTGTACAAAAGGATTGATCCAGTCAGAAAAAAAGCATAACTGTTCAGATATCTTTGATAATAATGATAATAATCAATAACATAGTAATCAGGATTATAATGAACAGTTAATATATTCCATTTCATGGTGTTTAAAAGGTGAAATAAGATTAACAGTGAATGATTGATATATAATATATTGATAAAATTGACTTAACATTCAGAAGAGAATTCACAACTTCAGAAAACAAGTCTTAAAAACAATAATATAGCTGAGATCAATGTAGATTAATCTTTGAAAAATTTGAGCGTTTAATCTAAGGAACGTTTGGATCACAGACAATAACAATAATAGATGGATAGATGAGTAAACCAGGTGATTGGAATAAATCGAATTTGACGATTGAAAATTAATAGACTGATTCTATGTAACATGTAGATATTTTTCAAAACAGTTTTATTTACTTGAGCTAATAAAACTTAATCATGTTTAGATACCAGGTTTATAGCTGGAATATCTTGTACAGATATTTCTGTTAGTCATGTCTATATGTTTGACTTCTCAAAAATCAACAACTTTAAGACGCAACTACATATGACAACAGTAGAGTCCTATTGGCCCTGAATAAGTATAATGAACGTTTGGTGTGAGTCAGTGAAACTATTTCAGCTACCAGAAAGCTGCTTAGTAATATAGAACTGATACAGATAAGATACATATTATGTGAATAAACTTGTATTCCTTTAGTTCACATAGTTGAAACAACATTCAGAGTACATGTAACACGGAGATAAACAGATGATATGTTAACCTCTGGAATAAAATAAAAGTACTCACGAAACATCACACTGCGAAAGTTTCTTATTTGTAGCTCTCATGAATTCACTTTTGGATATTTTCCCATCTTTGTTTTCATCATAAAGCTTGATGAGCTCCTTTACAAAAAAACGTAATGAAGAAGTATCAAACAATAGATTACAACTGAAAAACTAACTAATGTAAACAAACATTATAAAAAGTTGATACAATAAAGAGAACTTCGCAAACCTTGTAACTAATAGCGTCATATGTCAAAATTGGTAATATTTACCTTCATTTAGTAATAAAACGATTTTATGTTCGCTGCTATTAAGATCAAGTGAGGCTATGTATGCAAACCTCAGAATCCAAGCTTGGTCATTTGTTTCCTATATCAATCGAAATCCCGAAAACAAACAGAAATTTTACACAGGTTACTAGATAGTTATATCAGCTGTCATCCTTCTTGATAGGACGATCGCCAAATGTTTGATAAGTTTTAGAAATTTTAATAGAAATAAAATGAGTTGATCAGCAGTCAAAATGTAGTTATGTCAATGTAAGCAATTTAAGTGGAGCATGAGGTATAGACAATTGATGCACAACGAAATAACATGATTACAGTTTGTTATTGTGTAAGACGGGTGTTATAGAAACCAGTCATAAAGCGAGTAACTAATACATCAAAAAATATCAAGCTTGGATCCAGTGCCAGTAAGTTATTAAGATACAGAGACGAAATAGAGAAAGGGTTTGCTTGTTAAAATTTGTATAGAAAAGAAATGAAGTTAATCATTGAGGAATAAGAGGATATTCAACATTGACTATATGTCAAAACAGCCTTCATACATGATAACTTAGTGTTACACAATTTGCATAAGAGCATATGTCTTTTATATCGAAAGGCGATCTCCAACACTATCTTTCACTTGATTAACGAAAGGTTGTCATGTCAGAAGATCTACAAAGTTCAACCGCTAAGAAGGATTCCGTAACACGGAAACAGAAATTTTATAAGGTTTCATGCGTAAATAATTAAATAATGAAGAATATAGAAGGAAACAGGCAGAGAATTACAAACAAATACTGGACGTGTGTTGTTCTAATTTGGATCATATACATCACGATTGTACAGTTTGCCCAAAGTTCATTAATCTGGTCTTTCTCTGAGCCCAGTTCTCTATATGTACAATTCGCCGTACAACAAAACTGCAAAGTGGCTAGTGAGAAATTGAGAGCCTTTGGATACGAAGGAGTGTAAAAGACATTTTCGATTTCACTTCCAAAGAAGAAAATATGAACGATAGAATGAAAATTAAGATCTCACTGGATGTGGTATTCTTCTTTACCAATGTAACACTTATCAAGACTATTGAGTTTATATGCAAGAAAATATCGGAAAAAAACAAATCAACATTGGCTTGCCTAAATGAACTATTCTTTAGATGTACGATGAACATCCGTTTCGTCTTCAACAACAATTATCATACACAAATAGATGGGGTAGGCATGGACTCACTTCTAGGCCCAGTTCCAGCTGATCTCTTCCAAGAAAAGCTAGAAAATGAACCACTTAATGAAGCTATTAAGTAACTTGATGCTTATTGCCCGTACGCTGATGGCACTTTGATTATTTTAGATCAGAACAACAGTAAAGAAAAACTCCCAGAACAATTCAACAGTGTACACCAGAAAATCACTTTCACTGGTGAAGATGAGTGTGATAAAAAGCTTTGATTAATAAAATGAGTGGGGTGGCCAAACTGATAAGTTACACACGTAATCGATACTTAAACACTTTAAATAAATAACTATCAAAAGTTAGGGTTGCTGTCCAACAGACTAATTATATTAGGGAATCAAAACCTATCACTATACGCCATGACGTTTCCAATAGAAAAAGGTTAACTGATTAGTATAATTAGTGTAAAACTTAGGTCTATACTTATCTGATAACTGCCCCTAACAGTCCAACATCCATTACTGTGTACAGTAACGTTACATCACCAAGACTTAATGATAAATTACAACTTAAGTAGTAGGATTTAATTAGCGTAGTGAGTGGACAGTAAATCAATAAACGCCAGTCAGTGATCATCGAATGATTTTCGCTGATATTTTATACGACTGAACAAGTTTGCTATTTATACTTCAAATAAATGTCTTTTTTTGAAAGCCTCATAAAAATTATAGCACATTAATGGATTCTACGTTACATCTTTCATCTTATATGGGACACGCCAGTTAAATATAACTGTCTTTTCAAAATTAATGTTCATTTTGAGACTCGATTCCCTTAACATTCACTGCAAACATAAACACACTATCTACAGAACTAATCGGTTAAGGTATTCACTAAATTACGAATATGATGCGCTTTTTTTCAAAAGTCTTTATGCTTTCTCGTTGTTTGCTAACTGATACTATCGTGGCAATTTGATCAGAATTCAAGTATGCTGACAAAAAATTGATAGAGATTAGAATCTGCAACATGTACGTGGGAAACATAAAAACTCTCTTACAAAATGCAATTCGTCATTTTTCAAATCTTCATAAAAACGTTTACCACTTTATGCTGGTTAAATAAGCACGAAATGATTACAATGTCACTAAGTGATGTGTCATTGTTTTTATACAAAGAAATTTGTTACAGTTAACAACTACGCAATACTTATGCACTTCTTTTAAAATTGTCTTCTGCTAATAAAAAAAAAATATTCAATTGAAATTTTTTTATTCGTTTACCTTTCACGTGTTTAGATAAATTGTCAAGAGAATAAACACAACTTTTTTTTTTGGAATATAAATTATGAATTTTTCAAGTGCAATAAGAAGGTAGAAAGATTACTTTTATGATTATGATGAAATTTCTAAATATTACTCAAGGTACAACAACTAGAATGTAATTTTTTTTTGAAAAACAAAAATTATTCACTAATAGTTTGTATTATGTTTAAGATTATTAACACTGGTTTATGTTTTACAAAATATGATAATATAAATGATAGTGACTAATCATAACACTCCAGGTGTCATCTACTTTGATCAATGAAAATGATGTCTCTTTAGGCTTGTAGACAAAACGTGAAACCTATCTAACTCAATCGATTTCTTATCATCTGCGTTTATCAGCAATACAAAGAAATATGTTGAGATCTGGATTGAAGATAACTGTTTTTTTTTTTAAATGTACTATTCTTTTATATCATATAACTTGCAGTTTCACCTACATATGTTCTGGTTAAAATTTAGGATTTACACAGTCCAATTTGACATCGGTTTCTTTAGAGGCATTTATAGTAACTTAGGTATTTTTGTGAGTGTGAATCAATGAAGAGAAAGCAGTAATATGTCATTATGTAGATTGTATTCATCACAGACTGCTTTCATCCGAGGTAAAGTTGAGAGTCAGGGAGCTCTAAACAGTTGTTTTATTTGACCATGAAATTATTCAAAAGTGAGGGTCTATCACGACCGACAACAGGTAAATTAGACCCCGTGATGAGTAATTTGAATGAGAATTAACGGGTGACGTTGAAATTATTGTAAAAACAGTGATAGTGATTTTCACGAAATGGAACTTAAATAAAAAAAGAAAACTGAACCTAAATTATACTAATACATTTTTTCTCCAACTGCATTCAGTTTTCTCAATATATAATGAAAGACTTCAGAAGGATAATTTCAAGAATAACAAAAGGTGAAGGTTGTTTTCACGGTCGAAAAGTGTGTAAAGTTTGGGAATGCCTTATATTCTACTGATTATCGAAGCTACAGATCTTTTAGAGGATGTAAACTTTCCATCATAAAGTAGCAATTGGCACCAGTATATAATAGGTCAAAACTTCTTATTTTCTATTAGTTCGGTAATTAATACTATTTCGTGATGAAAATCACTGTGATAAATTTAGCAGCACGAGCATATATAAAGAAGTGAAAAAGGCACTTTTTTTTTCGATAACTTACTTCAGCTTTACTTTTTTCAAAACCGAAACGTTCCAAACATTTAATAATTTCAGCTTTACTTAGGAATCCATCAGAATTTTTATCAATACTGTCGAATTCTTGTTCAAGTATGCACATCACAGCCATTCTGTTTGGAAAAATGGCAATGATTGAAGGAAAAATTATCAACAAGATAGTATTTTAGATTATTTTAAAAGTTAGCAGGATGTTTAATAATTAAATATGATATTTCAATAGTTCCAGTTACTGTTTTCATATACATAGATAGTCCATACGATATAATTTTGTTTTGCCTTAGTAGATATTTTTAAAAAAAAACAGTCACAAACATTATTTAGATCGACAAAAGTACGTGTCGCCAAACATTGCGAGCACTTTCAGAGATGTGCGTGCGGTTATCATATTAGGGTTGCCTAAGCCATGGATGGGACCTACCTAGTAGAGAAACTCAGTTAAAGGTGGTCTCGAAGACCTAAAGATGCAACTGCAGAGAAATTAAGGCTTTTTTCCTGGTCATAAATACACTTTCATTACTCATGTAAAAAATAAGCAGACAAAAATTATATAAGAAAAATCATGAGATAAACTTGTAATTTACAACATCGAATTTAAATTTCGTCTTACAGCAATAAAGATGTTTCACATTTGTTACATTAACAAAATGACTATGATTAGACACTTCAGCAATGTCGAATCTCATAACTAATTGTTTGGGATTAGTAAAACCATGAGATTATTATTATATTTTTGGCTCTTCGGTTTAAAAGCAATTTTTTACCTCATATATTTGTTTGTTGTATAAGTGATAAGCTTTTTAAGTGTGAAACTGCTCATTAACTCAACTTCGATATATATATATATATATATATATATATATATATATATATATAACACTGAACTGTTAACATTACCTACAAAAAGTGTGTCATTTTACAGCAGAACAAGGGATGATTCAAAATTATTGATTCATGGCAATCCTTTCATACAATGGCTGATATTAACTGTAATATTACTGATAAAATATAATACTGATAAGTAAGGCATCTAAGCTATAAATATTGGCTATTTACGTTAATCTCAGCATTTCTCATAGACGTATAAACATAAAATTGAATATTAGCATCAGTGAATATTACTTCATTAAAAAAAAATCTAAATTTTGGAGTCAATGTAAGCAAATCTAGTCAATTATTGAAATCAAACACTTAGAAAATCCACTGTGATAAAAGAAGATAATCAATACATTGACTAAGGTTTACTTCTTAGTTGACAAACTATTATAATTTTCATGTAATGCTTAGTGTGTAGGGTAAAATTTCGATACAGTAAAGTATCCTTCACTAGTCAGTACACTAGAACCATGTAATTCATCAAGTTTAACAGGAAAAAAAATCAGTAGATTGCAAAGAATTGATTATTACAATTCCTAGTTAACTCACTTAGTGCTTTGGATGAATACAATAGATTTTAACGAAATTAAATGAATAAAATTTCAAAAGTGTCAGTGAATTTATATACTAATTGTTCATACACTCTGGAATAGAAATAGTTTATTGTAATCCAACATACACCCACATTATAAGCATTTGCATACATGACATTCAAAAAATGGTTACATTTCTTTATGTAAAAATGTTTCATAATTCAAAACTCAATCAATCAATGAACACTAAAAGTGTTAACAATGATTATTGTGTATACATAAATGGAATATGAGTGCTATCAAGTGATTGATTTTATTAAAAAATTTGTTTAAGTGTGTGCATGTGGATAGGCATGGATACCAATGAAGAATGTAAGTATAGAAAAAAAGTAAAACAAATTATTTTTATTCATTTTCAGTGAATGACAAATGTATTTTTCACGTCGGTGCTTTATAGTTTAATCTGGATAGGATTTCATGAAGTACATTATGAAGTAGACCAAACCAACCGGAACAACAGAATTGTTTAAACAACGATGGTTCTTACTAAAGTTCTTCACGTGATGTTGGTTTTCGATGCAGATTTCTTGGGAAGTACACAGAATTCACGAAAGTAACTACTAAAATCATATATTAAGCTAGATCAAAATAACGACTGGACATCGTGTCATTTTAATGTTTACAAGTAACTCTTTTTATTACTGTTACAACTGTTAAGCGGTATTTAAACACCAATGTACACAAAAGTGAAGCCTAATGAATGGAGGAAATTAAAAGTTGAATGAAATGCGAAAACGATATTTCAAGTAAGTAATTAATATACGATTATGGTTTCATTTCTTTTTTAAATAAAATAAAAATGCCTTATCAGATGGAATCATCAAAATTATCCTTATATACAGAAGAGAATTTCCAACTCTCTGCCTAACTTAGTTAATTATCCTGCACAGACAGTTTATGATTAACTCTTATCAACTGTAGACAACCACGAGAGTGTATGTGGCGAGTCAGGTAATTAATTACAAGTTTCACTCATTGAAATATATGTTCAACATATAGTCCGATTATATGAAGCTTTGTTGATAAACTGAGTTTCATATTGAATATAAGATGAGTAGTTTCTACCACACAATCTTTAAATATGTATAAAGTGAACGAATCTAGAAATAACGAATATTTTGTTTTAGTTAAATTAACAGCAAATTGGATAATGATTTACAGTAAAAAACAGATAGTTCGTACAACAGGAAGAATTGAAAATTTACCTTTACAATGATAATGAATCAATTTTTCACAAACAGATGAGCAAGAATGTTTAGTTTCTCTTAATAAGTAAACAAAATTAATAAATATATAAATAATAATAGAACATAAGTTCAACAATTCAAATTTTCACAATTCCTTAATATGTTTTACTAATATAAGTGCACATTTTGAAACCATGAATCGATCAATGTTAGATCAGCATTAGAAACCTGGAAGCACTGGAAGGCCGGTTCGTCTGGGCATGGGACTTCTCAGCAATGCGCATCCACGACTCCTGCACCCCGCAGGATTCGAACCCAGGACCTTCGGTATTATAGGCGAACGCCCTACCATCGGACCACTGAGCCGGTATCTAACGGTGTTAGTGTCTAACTTGATCAATTCACGGAGTTGCGCAACCTCATACACAGTCTTCGGTAGTTACTGTCTACACCCGAACAGGTTGAACTTCACCGGTCACGTCTCCCCACTAGAACTCGGAGAAGATTCCTCACGAAGCTAGTCAATAGTGAGCACAGGTAATTTGCATTACGGGGTTGTCAAGATTGTTAAGTTTCACATTTTGAAACATCGATCGATTCATGGTTTCAAAATGTGTAACTTAACAATCTTCACAACCACGTAATGCTAATATAAGTGTGTAAGTTAAAATCAGTTCAGTTAAGATAGTGTACAAATTTATGTACCTTACTCAAAATCACATGATGATACTAATAGACAGCTGAAGTTGAAGTTAATGTAGTGAGATTTGAAACCGAAGCTTAATGATCAAAATCCCTGTGGGTTCACCAATAATTTATCTGTAGCAGGAAATGTTTTAATATCCGATTAATTAAATACATTAAGAAGATCCTGACGGGAGTTTCAGTTGTTTTTGGTGAAGTTTGGACAAATACTAATTAATTAGTTGAATCGGGATACTATATGTGATAGCTTTAATTGATTGTTACACTTATAAGTTTGCTTTCCACTTAATGCATTTCCGAAATGAACAAACAAATAAAATTTTCAAGACAGCCAATCAAATGCTATATGATTCGTTAATAAAATAGAAATCACTATTGTGTGGTGTATTGTGGCGTGTACTACTCGCAACATGGCTTATAAATAGTCTGGAGCAGAATGTTGCTCAGAATTTATTGCTGAAAAGAAGAGTTTCGGATGAGGATGTATGGCATATTCAAAGTGTTTTGAAGACTAAAAGACACGTGAAAGAGGATAGACAAGAATCTGACTGTTTTGCAAAGGGAAGTCTGAAAATATGGTGTACATATTTTACTGGTAAACTGTATCTTCTTCCAATAGATCACTTATTCCATCTGCTTTTAATATCTTCATTCATCAATTACATATGCATGAGTAAGTCTTCGTTTATAAACAATAATTACTTTCAAAAACGTTAAAATATTAGACTAGTCAACAATCGTCATTGCAAATAAAAATTACTATCACAAGTAAAATGGTGCAATAAGAAATCAATTTATAAATCGAATAAATATTTCAGTAAACTTAGATGTTTTCCATAATGATCACGTACAAAGTCAAAATTGCGAAATCCTTATCTACTTACCTAATAAATACTTCAGGAAGGCACTTTGAAAATGTTATATACTATCTACACCTCCAACTTGCTTGATTAGTAATAATATTACGAAAATTATATAACTGATTATTTATAAAGTAGTGCAGTAATTCGAATGTTTAAAATCATATGATTATGTTTTAAAGAATGTAATATACTACTATTGGATGAATGGATTAGTATCAATTCATTAATTTTAAACACGTGATAATTAAAGTAGGCAACAATTTATGCCATAGTTTTTGAAAAGTATTAGATGCTACTATTGTGTAAATTATTGAATGACAAATGTTGAAAAGCACGAGCTTTTGATTATCAATAAATTCTAATTCGTCAGCCGTATGTTGTAATCAATTGTTAGTTAAATTAATATAAACTTTTACAAAGGTACTTTTATAAAACTCTTATACATTTCAGTAGTATATTCACCTATGAACTAACGATAACTAAAAAAACTGGAAAAAATCAAGAAACAAAAACAAAACTATGCTACATATACGTAAAGGTTTACGAAGAGACTAAACCTAAAATCTTCAGAGTTTACGAGAAGTATGATAATGTAGTCGTAGAAGTGGATGAAAGTTATACTGTCCTTATTTTAAAATTATATCATTTCGGGATACATCGAAATCTTGATTCAGCTACCAGAAGTTAAAGTAGCTATTTCATTTGAGAAAATAACCTACCATTTAACTGCTATTCATGAAGATGGCTTGTAGCGTTTCCTTCATCATAGGTTGAGATTAGACTGAAGATGAGGAATAGTGGGTTATTGATTCAGATATAGTACTTACCTTCAGTAAGTGCGAATAAATACTTTTGTTCATCGAAGTTTTATGACAAACAAAAACTTCAGAATCATTAGGAATAGTCACAAGAATAAAGAACAATAAATAATTGTTGATTGAGATCTAGTTTCTTCGGGATTCAGAAAACATCAATTCAGTGTGAATAAAAGAATATATTCAGTATGGAATCCGATGAGTTAGATTCATAGGGGAATTTCAACATTAAAATAGATAAATACATTGGTATGAATATTCCAGATAATTTCAAAATTCCAACCTTGAGTTACTGTAATGCCAGTCATATTCATTATTGAACAGTTAAGTAAATCTATTTATTATTACAAGCAAAATTATAAAGCACACTAAGAACAGAAACACAACATTCAAAACCCATTAGTGGTTGCCATAACAATGACCTATTGTACAAAAAGAAAATATATAATTATTGGAATATACCAATCAGCCAGGATAGACTAGTCTCAAAAGTGGTAGAAGAAAAGAAATTTATATTCAATTTTGAATGGATTAGATAAAAGAGAGAAAGTAAAATGTAGGATGAAATGAAATAATAATTCGAAAGAAAATGTTAACTGGATATAACAAATTTATAGTCTGCACTATGAAATAAAATTCGTAGAAACAATTCAAAATAGTGTGTTCATATTAAATTATGGAGCAAGTGCAAAGATTTAAAGAGAATAACTTCGATTAATTTTCACTACGCTACTTCTTGATCAGCCACCCACAACTAGCCTACAATATAAAGAGATTGGTGAGATTTGAATGCTAAACATCATGAAGGGTATTCTGACGTTTTAAAAATCGAAGTGTTGCAAATAAATACAACATACAAGCGATCCTGGAACATCGAAATAACAATTAAAGGTTAAGAAACTCTACATAATAAATTCGCGTGACAGGAATTATTAGGAATAACAAAAGTTAAAAGTAGTCAAGTTAAATCACTGACCACTTTATTAACAGTGTTGATGTCTGTTCTTAAATATTTAGTAATTAGTAACGTTTCGGAAACCGCTCGGGGCCCCTCTGCGACTACTGACTGTCCAAAGGCTGTATAAAGGTGGAGGTTTAGGCACGGGGTTGGCGACCTCATCCCACAAAATAACTGACTGGCTAAAAAATGCTAACCAGAAAACATAATTCAAACCACTTTTACTATGCCCTACGAGTTAGAAGGTTTTCATTCAGAAGAGTTATGCCATCTCATGATGAAAGCCGAGTTCCCTTGGAAGTCATGAGGCCGATACCCTCTCCAACAGCCAGAGCAACCATTGTTTTAGGTACATGGTATGTATGTACATTGTTGGAGGCCAGAAGACTATTCCACCAACTTACTGCAGAGGTGAAAAGATACAACTTGGAGGTGCTTGGAATCAGGGAAACGCATTGGACACAGGTAGGAAAACTCAGACTAACTTCAGAGGAACTGCTGTTTTAATCTGGCTATGGAAAGGAAAATGCTTCACATAAACAAGGAGTTGCACTGATGCTATCCAAACAAGCACAAAATTCTCTTATAGGATGGGAAACTCACGGACCAAGGATCATTAAAGCATCCTTCAAAACACAGAGAGAGGGCATTACAACGAACGTCATCCAATGCTATGCACCCATCAACGACTAAAATGACGATGCTAAAGAACGATTCTACGAAAGGCTACAGTGAATTATCGACAGATACTCATCAAAGGATTTGACCATTCTGATTGGAGACCTAAATGTCGAGGTTGGAATGGACAACACTGGATATGAAGTTATCATGAGCGACATGAAATTAAATCTTTACTGTCATGAATTTTATGCTTACAGGGGTTGATTTTAAATAGCAGTTGTGATTCTGTTCGAGCCTTAATTTTTGCTGTCTTCAAGGTAATATAGAGAACCACGCGTATATAATTCAATAAGTAAATTATTCTCAACTTTTAAAAAATCTGTGGTTAGAAGTTTCCATTCCTAGCTGTACTACAATGGAACGGTGTTCCACAATAAGTATGCGACGAATTGTACGCAGATTTCACAAACTTTTCCTCAAGTTCAACTCAAGAAGGCGTTATTATTAATTAATGCCATCAAATTAGGGTAATAACCATAATTTTTATCTGCCTGGCGCTGAATGCGATGAGAAACAGAGTCAGCTGAGGAACAGGCTGATAAAAACCCTACGCAATGATCGTGAACAGTGGTGGGTGGCGAAAGCAAAGGAGGTGGAAAAGGCAACAGGGATAGGCAACAGTATACAACTATTCATCTCGAAAAAGGACGGTCTTGTTATTCACTCTCAATCCAGGAGATTGGATAGATGAGCAGAACACTTCAGGGATCAGTTCAGCTGGCATTCAGCCACACTTCGGTTACCCACGATCTCCAGTCATCCTGAATGGCAAATCGATTTAAGTCCTCCCAGTCTACATGAAGTTGAGAAATCGATAGGAAATCTGAAGCAAGGGCTAGCTGTGGGTCCTGACAGATTGACTCCTGAGATTTATAAGGATGGTAGTCCAGTTTTAGCAGTTAGATTGACTGAGATCTTGTGTAGAATCTGGGAACTGGACGTAATCACATCCGACTGGTCTCAACCCCTGATTGTCCCACTTTATAAGAAAGTCTTCTTGTGACAACCACAAAGTTGTAAGTCTAACTGATATAGTATCTAAATTATTGGCCCCAATAATACTCAAACGCCCAACTATAGCTCGTGAAGAGCAAACTAAAGGAAACCATGGTGGTTTTCGACCTGCTCATGGCTGTATAGACCACATCTTCACACTACGACAGGTCTTGGAACACAGACAAATTTAGGCGTCCGACTATAGTCTTCTTCCTGGACCTTGAGGCGGCGTTTGACCCTGTGAATCATGAGGTTCTGTGGTATTGTCCAGCACTGAAAGGAGTACTGATAAAGTACATTAACCTTATACAAGCTCTGTAATCGAAAATTACAGGTCGAGTTAGAGCTTATGGTGAACTGTCATCGTAAATGATTACTTCGAGTGGTGTCCGTCAGAGCTTTCCATTCTCTTTATTCCTGAATAGACAAGCTTTTAGAGTTGATATTATCTTCGTCTGACCTTTCACCAGTGGAACTGCAAATAGGAGATTCACTGGTTTACTTAGAATATGTCGATGGCATATCCTACTTGGTGAGGATGCTGACTAAATGCGGTGTCTCCTGACTACCCTAAGCAACAATGCGAGCATGTTCGGGATGCGGTTTTCCCCCTCGAAATGCAAAATGTTGCTTCAAGACTGGGTTGCATCGGCACCTGAACTAGTGATAGGGAGTGAAGTAGTCGAGCGTGTAGACCGCTTCACTTATCTTGGAAGTCTCATCAATGCTGATGGCCTGGTGACTGACGAAATCTCGGCCCGGATACAGAAGGCTCGATTGGCTCTTGCCAAGTTGCATCACCTATGACGAAGGCGAGTGTACTGTGCAGCAGTTCGCCCCATCCTACTATACGGATGCAAAAGATAGCTGTTAAGAGTAGAGGACATTCGTAAGTTGCTGGTTTTTGAGCACAGGTGTCCGAAGCATTGCTCGCTTATCCTGGGACCACTGGGTAACCAATGTTGTCGTTATTAAATGAGTACTAGATAGGGATGACAAATCAAATGATGAAGTATTGAAACTTCATCAGTTGAGGAGGTTTGAACATATGTTTCATATGCCTAACCACCGCCTGCTCTGTCGAGCTATGTTTTGTGGTGTAGGAGTAGGTTGGAAGAATGCTAGGGGCGACCAGACCAAAACATGGCACAAATCCATGAAGTCACTAACAAGTGGACTGAGTCATGTTGGTAGATGTAGGCCACTTGGTTGGGGTCCGCGAGACGATAATAATCGATAGTTAGAAACCCTGAATGACATGGCTCAAAACCGTTTGCAATGGCGCATGTACATCCAATCTTTGTGTTGTATGAAATTCTAACCTTCTGAATTAATCATCATCTCCATCTTTGTCTTTCTAAACCTATCTCACTGAATTATACCTCTTGAATAACATCTTCGAACCTTAATCTCTCCGATTACTTCTGATACTTTTACCACCTCTACTACTATGTTGTTTGAATTGACAATTATATGTCTGTGCTAACGTGGTATGGCATCTTGTACTGATGTACGTACGTACGAAGTTCTGCGTTACAAATGCCTGACTGACTGTTCAAGGTGGCTTGGTTTTCCTTCTGAAATATAAGATATTTCATTCAAAACTCATCACACATATAGTTTCATCTACTAATGTTTCTTCCTTATTCTAATGAACTCTTCAATTTTCTTTCCTAATATCTGTCTACATGTCTGAATATCACTTTTAATTTCACGTTATTATTTTTTTATGTTTCCACTAACACTGAAGTTGTCCATCCTGCTGCTTCTGCCTTGCTTATCTTTGTAAGTAAGAGAGAATAACACTGTTACTGACTATAACTTTTTTAATGGTTCTACTTAGTTGTACTGACTTTTGATCTTCATACAACGGAGCCCCAAAAACCTGGTATTTAACACATTCGGATTTATCCTAATATACTTAACTTTCGCGTTTGGGTAGATTAACATGACTTCACTTCCGGATTCAACGCTTTTCCACTGTAAAATATGTCTACAAATTGATTATGTTAACTGGTATTAAGGTAGATATTTATACTACTCATAATATATATAAGTAGTATGAGATGACTGCTTGATTTTGTACACATCACAATAAATCTAAACAGTATTTCCTCATCCTCATCATCAATGCACTTAGCAGGTAGTAAAGATCTTTCCTGGAATTACCCAAGGAAATCGCTAAGGAGTAAGACATCTCATTTCCTTATCAAGGAACATGAATGAACTAGTCTCGATTTCAAATGATTGTTTAGCATTTCCCTGAGAACAC